ATTTATAATTATATTTAAATAATTAACTTTTAATAATAATATGTTTTTTTATTCTAATTTAATTTTATATTAAATTTTATAATTTTTGATCTGGCAACACTTAAGATAATGCCATGCTTGCGGAATTGGCTACGTGAAAGATGTTGAGTTGTACATGTTTTCTGAATTAAGTAAGTCTTAATTACTGTTTTATTCGTTATAAAAAGTACAGATATTGATTTAAAAATACGGATTATGAATAATTAAAAGGTAATTGATAAAATATTAATACAAGGTGATCGTAATTGAAACATCTTTATTCAAAGTTAGTTTCAGGGAAGTCTAATGGCCAAAATATAACAGAGATACACTTCAGAACACGTGGAAATGATATCCAGTTCAAAAGAATTGCAGCCATTGTAGTTCTTGGTGCTATAGTGCTGCAAGTGGAGCAGTTCAAGTGATACTGATGGCATAAACCTTGAGAATTCTGTTATAAAACAAATGAATTAGGTTAAATTTCAGATGCGTGTACTGTTCGTACTCCCGACTGACTCCTCCCGGAGGGGAGCCACCAGCAGGTCGCCTTGTGCCAAACGTCACTAGTTATTGATTCACGGTAGTTCTTGAACACACTGGTATCAATAACTAGTATGTATCAATCCGACGGGACTATGAACAGTCGGGACCACTGCCACAACAGTATACGTATCTGAAATTTAACCAGACTATTTAATATGATGAAGTGTGCTTCATTTTGCTTAAAAATAATTGAATCTTTAATACATACATCAGATGGTTGGATGTCTGAGGCAGTTGAGATATCAGTCTACTGCTCTGGCAACTGAGATTGAATCTGGGCATGCAGCTCCAGAAATTTTTGTGAGTTGTCTGTTTCGGATAAGATGAGCCTAATCTCGCACTACCTGGTAGAACCTACAATGGGTACGATTGATTAAAATAAATTATGGTTCTTTTCTGTTAACTGTGTGCCATTCAATTTTCAATCCAGTTTTCCTGTTTATACATCATTTTCAATCCAAATGATGTACAAACATGTATAAATGTATTCATTGTAATTTTAAGCATGTGTATTAAACATATTCAGTTTCTCTAAAAATAGTAGTAAAAATGACTGGTGTCCAGTTTAACGTTAAAGTACCTAAAATTGCACGTGTATTTAATATTATTTTTAAATTAAAATAAAATTTTTTAAACAAACATGTATCAATTGTACAGATAATCTGTAATTGATATATTGTGTTTTTAATAAAAAATGCAATAGAAGATATTAATTCTATGACAAATATTGTCTGCTGTGGATTTGTTAGATGAGAAATTTTACAATTCCTTTTATTTTAATTTATGAATTATCTCACATAATATGGTATGAACACATTTAAAATGTAATTAATTTTATTTATTCATTAAATCAATTTAGATTCCTTTATATAAAAATGGAAGAAGAAAGAAATTTAGAAGAAGTTGTTTTTGGAGCTGGAGATGATTTCTTAGAAGAGGTTAAGAAGTTTTTTAATTTGATTTTTTTAGAGTATTGATGATGATTAATTTTATTAAAATGTTTCAATTTTTTATTTATTAGATGATAATCTTCTATTATAAGTAGAAAACTTATAAAATGTAATTATTGTTGTTTTATACTAAATTTTTTTTATTTTATCTTATATGATATAGTGATAATTTTGTTACAATACAGTAGAACCTCGAAAACTCGGCCTAATGTGGACCGAAGGGTGGCCGAGTTTGTGAAAATGCCGGGTTATCGGGAATGGGGTTAAAAAAGGATAAGTATGCGTGTTTCCTCAGAAAATACTGTAGAGGCTTTACTACATGAAAATGAAAATTAATGAATACACTGTGTACAGTAATTTACCTGATAAGACAGACCTCAGAAAAATACTTTATGAGAGCTTTTATACTTTTATAAAGCTGTCTATAATGAAAATTAATTAACTAAGGATATTTCTGCCCTGCCAGGGTGTGGCCGAGTTATCCGGAGTGCCGGGTTATCGAGAGCCGAGGTTTCGAGGTTCTACTGTATTGTATAAATATTCCTGCGATATTGTGTAAAGCAGGGGTCCCAAACTGGCAGCTTGAAGACCAGATATGACCATCAAGATTTCATATCCCACCCAGCCTTAATGATTTATTTTCTAGAATCAATGTTTCTAATATCTTGTGGAGATTAAAACAAAAAATTTAAAAAGTTTGACTGTTTATTTAATTCATAAAGGCCTGACAACTAAGGGGCCTTTGTTAGAGTCATTTTTTTAAATTACAGTATGTTTTGGTTTACCAAATAATATTGAATATGGCCCTTTACATTGCCCTTTGCTGCATTTGAATTTGAGACACCTGATGTAAAATATTCATGTAAATCATTGTATCCACATAAATCAGTTATTTTCTAGTTTTTTATCAGTAAATTATTCTAAGAATCTCATAAAACTACAAATTTTATGTTAAAGAAAATACACCTGATTATATAAAATTAATTATTTCAATAGCTAATTATTTTTTTGTTTCTAATAGTAAATTTGACTAAAAAAACTGTAGACTCCAAAATTGTTTCATTTAAAATATAATAAATATTACAGAAGTACAGTTAAGTGTCTTAATTGAAAGCCATTTATGGCTGACGTTTTGTTGTAAATTTAAAGCTGAATTTTACTATAGATCTTGTCCCAAAGGAAATTATTATGCTTTTGTAGAATAGCCTCTAATAGCAAGAAATTATACATATTAATATATTATTAATGCATGTCTTCATAATATTTATTGTATTGCTAATTCTGTTTGAATCCCAAAAGAAGAAAACACTTACAGACCATCCATTGCTCTACTTATTAACCAAATTTCAAAAGCTATTATTCCTTTATTGGTGTACAATATGTAACACTGAACTGTACATTACTGATTCTTCAGTTATAATCATTTCAGTCTCAGAAAAGATTTTGATGACAAGTTATATTTACTTGAATGTAAGATGCATTTTTTTTGGGTTTTAGAATCTCTGAAAATGGGGTACATCTTAGATTTGATGTAAAATGTCATACTTAGCAACCTCTAGTTCCATCCACCTTATTTCTCTGCCACAAGTTCCATTGCAACATTTTAATGATTTCTTAGACCGATAATCAGAATAGTAAATATAAAAGAGGTCATCTCAGCTCAGTGTTGTAAGTCTATTACAGTAACGTCATAAATAATTGGATAAAAATCCCAGAAAATGTTGTGCAGCAGTCTTTCAAGTAAATATTGCATTTCTGATGCTTCAAACTGTATCGAGGATGATTGCCATGTCGGAAGATGCGAGCATAAAATTAAATATTGATTCAGAACCCAATGTGGAAAATAAAAGGTAACAGAGGGAAAATATGGTGATCAATCAAAAAATGACCCCCCCCAACATTTTGGACTCGAGACACTTTGAAATGTCCAGAAATACAAAAAATTTGGGATTTTTTTCTGTATGTATGGATGTTAGTGTATGTATGGGAGGGGGCACAATTTTGTTCACCCTCTTTGAAGCTTAATAACTGTGCTTTTGGTCAAAAGTTTCTAATATTTTGCAGGGAGGTGAGTATACTAGAGAATTTTAGTGATTAAAGGTCGAGGGGGTGGGGAGATAAAGTATTTGCAATAGGGTTGAAATTAATGACAATTTTACTCGTTATTAGCATTTACAAGTTTTTATAAAACCAATCCCTAGCCTCAAAATTAAGCTTTTCGCCATTTTATGATAATTAAAAATATAATTCCAGTTCAAATAGTGATTAAGACTGACAAAATAGAGTCTGTCTCCTGTCTAGATCACTATTTAAACTGGCCTAATTCAATGCATCATATCTGACATTCACAACTTTGTGCACTTGATGTGTAATTTTAAAAAATTCTGTTCTAAAATTTTAAGTTTTTTTTGTTCTTCAATTTAAAATCTGTTATAAATGGAAGAAAACATTAGTTACAGTAAAAATTTTTCATTTTGCTGGTTATTGGTGATAATGGTGTGATTTATTTACATATTAAGCCAGTATTTTGACAATTGGTATTATACTTTCAGGATGAACAGATTGAAATTTCATTGAAAAAGACTAAACATAAAACTTCAAAAGTAAAAAAGAGAAAACCTGCTTGGGTTGACGACGATGCTGATGATAGTAAAAAAATGTAAGTTAATTTTTGCATTATTGAATTTAGAAAGAATGTCTTACAATTTTTCTAATTTTATAAAATTGAAAGCACACTTGATGCCAATTGCACAAGTAACATAATAAATAACAGTCTTTTGGTATTAAAGTTTCTTGGTTTTTAATTAACAAGACATTTATAAAAGAAGCACTTTCAACAATGCATTACCATTTTTCTGAGGCAAATTATTTAGAATGGAATGTCAAACAAAAAATTCAAAGAAGAGAACATAATTTAAAATTTTTTTAACATACATAAATTCTTAATGCTGCTTTTCCCAATTCCATAAGACGATCACAAAGGAACACAAATTGATATAAAGCCAGTTTTTTTAACATTGGAATAATTACAAATTTGAAACTATACTGGCCGAAAAGAATTAAAGCCACAAATTCAGCTTTCAGAAATTTGAAAAGCAACACCCAAAGTTCCAGGAAATTTAAGGTTGGTCTATTACAATACTCCAAAGTTGATACATATGAGAATTTCCATATAAGTATGGTTCTCTGTTGCATAAACTCTTGCAGTAAAGTGGCTTCCAACCATAGGGATTATGTTCTAACACTCTCTTTATAAGCTTGGTAAAGCATCTGTTGTTCAAAATGTCATCTTGGTATTCCACCAGATGGATAACAAGCTTCTTGTAGTGTTTGCGGAGCCAACTTTTTATCACAAGAATCTCTTACATGGTCTGATAAGTTGCATGAAGTTTTAATGTTATCTTGGAATAAATATACTTTAATAACAACTGTACTATAATCTCATCCTTTCTCTATTTGTATCATTTTTATTTTAATAAATTTACAATTTTATTTAAATATTTTGAAATTTTATATCTAATGTGTGTTATATTAACTCCATAAATTCACTTAATTTATAATTTCTGAATTACAGTAGAGCGTCGTTTATCCGAATCAATTGGGGACTGGGGTTGTTCAGATAACTTATTTTTCAGATAACCAATTATGTACGAAAAAATATATTAATTTATCCCGTGTTGAAATTTTTCTCCGTTGCGTGTCGCTTTGCATTGAATTTTCGTCGATGTTAAGCCTAACGAAGACTATTGTATTGTTAAAAATTATTTTTTTATTTTGTACGAACAAAATAAATATATTGAAAAATATAAAAACAATAAAAAATTATACTTCAGAAGTTAATTTAATATCAGAAACGTAAAATATTTGAGTAGCCGAAGACATAGCCAAAGATTACAGCGCCACAGCACTGGCGAAAATTTAAATTTGCCGACTGGAATTCCTTTGGATAACCGACGTTTCAGATAACTGACCTTCGGATAAATGACGCTCTACTGTATAGTAGTTTTTTTTCAAACATTCTATTAGTTTGTGTAAATTTGATTTTTTTTCTATTAACTTTTATAACATTTTGATTAATTTCAGAGTAAAAACAGGAATTTTAACACCAAAATGGGCACAAATGGAAAGGAAAGATTGTGAAATTGAAGGTATTTTTTTAAAACCAAATTATGGCTTTGTTATCTAACAATTGTCTTTTTATACAAATAGAAATATAGAATAACCTGATTCTTGATTAATACCAAATGATCTGCTGTATTGTATTTTTTTTAATAAAGTTAAAATAAATAAGATGTAATAAAACACTTTTGTATTAGAAACCAGGGATGCAGAATAAGTCCAGTAGAACAAACGAGGTTTGGGAGAATTAAAGCATTTTTGAGGAAATTTGCAATAGAAAAAATATTAATGTGGCAATAGCTACAAAAAATGGAGTAAAGTCTCAGCTAAGTCTATAGACATTAATTGGGGAAATTTGCCAAAATGAGCAGATCTTGTATTTTAAAAATGAAACTGGAATGTTGTTTACTTCATTTCTGATCAGTTCAGACACTCGTTGCATTGCTGACTAATTACTTGGTTATGTACTTACAATAACGACAAGTCAGTCTTACTTCCAGAACCATGGTTTCACCTTTTATAAAAACTGAAATCAAAAAAGTGCTTTAAAAAGAACTGAAAACAGAAAATACGCTTTTATTTCAAATCTTTTCAACATCATTTAATGGATGAAATGTCATTTTGGCTCAAATTTAAAAAAAATTGAAAGTTATTAAACTGCATTTAAAAACTTTTTCTGAATTGTTTTGATTAAATAGCTAAATAGAAGTTTAATCATGATTTTTAAAAATGTGGTTTTGTCTTTAAAACATAAAGTAATAATAATAATAATAATAATAACAAGCAATTATTTATTGTGACATTGTTACAATGCCAGGCTACAATTTTTAATCATATTTTTAATTTATTTAATTTAAAATATTCTCTCCATATCAAATTAGTAGTAGCTTGCCCCTGTACATCACACTTTTCCTTTAATAATAGTCTTTCTGGTCATCTGTCTAACATGTTTCAGGGAAAATGTTTTGAATTGAAATAACATGATTCCAGTTTGCATCAGAAGTTCATATATAGTTATCGGGGCCTTCTGCCCTAAGGTTTTCATATCTAGTTTTGTCTTTCATCTATCTAACTCTGTTCCTGAGATTAAGGAAAGATGGACAGACAATAATGGGAATTTATAGTCTACAGTTTTTTCAAATTGCAGCCCAATAATAATAATAATATAATTAACCTGCACTACAAACAAATTCAGACAATGGAAGTTTTTCCACAAAAAACAAGAAACATCAAGATTACATAAAGCTATAACTCTGGCAGACAGTAACCATACACCTTTAAACTTACACACTGAGCATCTAGACATAGTTCAACACAAATAACATAGATACCACTAAGCAGTTGTGGGTCCAAAAGGCACTTCATAGCATGCATGCCTATGACCTAGCTCAGGACTATGTTGACAAAACTGTATCAAACTACTGGTTGACTAGAGCCGCCTGTTTGAAGAGAGTTTTATGGTTGCCATTCAAGATCAGGTCATAAACATTAAAAACTACAGAAAACATCCCTCATAAATGACTTACGGAAAATGCCACATTCTAACAGAAACATTACAACATATAACCTCTGGTTGCAAGCTCTTAGCACAGAGTATTTACATAAGCATAATCAAGTAGCAAATATAATACACCAAGAGCTTGCACAGAATATTAAACATCTAGGTATCATACTACAAATATACTCCACAGGCAGTATTAGAAAATGACACACACAGGATACTATGACAGAGCCATAATCACAGATAATTCATTACAATAGATCTGACATCATTCTCATTGCCAAATGCAGTAAGATTGCTTATATAATAGACATCTCTGTTCCAGTACTCATAACATGAAAAATACTCATATTGAAAAAATCAACAAGTACACTCCACTTGCTCAAGAAATAAGACAGATGTGGAGAAGGATTTATTTATTATACTAAGATAAGATAGTTATTAATAAGGTATTTATTGTATCTGTTATCCTCACTTCTACTGGTGTTATACCACATATACTATACAAAAGTCTAGAAACATTAAACTTTAATAATAACATATACATAGCACTGTAGAAAGCTGCAATATTGAACATGTGACATATTATGAAGCATTAGTTGTTATAATTATTTTATACACAGGGTTCCTACGCACCTGGAAAGTCAGGGATTTTTATTATTTTTTGAAAAAGTCAGGGAATTTGTCAAAAATTGTCAAAAAGTCAGGGAATTTGTCGAAAATTGTCAAAAAGTCAGGGAATTTGTCTCCTTAACTGTGTTGTTGATTTCGTTTGCTGAATATAGATGACCAATCACAGCCATCTGCAGGCAGCAAGAAGTAATGCTGCAATCTTTAAAACCCGAGATAACTCGGGCAAGTTCCATAGCGTTACATAAAACTCGGGCATTTGTGCCCTCCGAAAAAATTTTTGTTTTTTTTGATTTTTGGATGTTTTTTAAGTCTTCAAATTTTTTCAAAAATTTTTTCCCGCGCGAAAATATTTTATCACGATTTTAATATACCTTTAATGACGCACGATTAACGCTTAATTGTTTTTTAATGGGAGTTTTTTTTATCAAATTTCATTCATCGTTCTAAAGTAGTAGTGCACGGATTTTACTTCGATAAAGTTATTTAAAGCTAGTTTCTGATGTCAAAAACGACCTCCAATAGTTTTTTAATTTTTTTAAATTAATATATTTTATTATATATACGTTTAATTAAGTCGGGGGGTCGGAAATCGCAATAAAAAAACGTAATTTTTGAAAAATATTTAAAAATATACAGCCAGCTAGTATTCACTCTACTTTAAACCCTTCTCCTCCCGAGACTTCTATGAGAATGTCCCGGGAAATCCCNAAAAAAAGTTACTCTTTTTGTTGAAAGATTGATTTTAAAATTGTGTGTTTCTAAGTCAAGAGTTTCTAAGTCTAGAAGTAAGTCTGTTGAAGATACGGTGTGTGTTGGAAGTAGTATTGTTCAAGAGTTCATTTTAAGCACAGTACAGTACTATTTGTTTATCAAAGAATAATTTTTGTTGATTTTATGTTACCTTGTATTTACTAGATTTACATACAAATAATAATGATAAATGATGATAAAATAAAAAGCTTGTGTTTTGTTTGTAAATTGCTTATTTTTTCATTACATTGAAGTTGTGGATTCTATCAAACATTTTTCTACAGGATGTATGTACTGTATTTTTTTAATGTGACAGTCTTTGAAGCATATCAACTGTGCAAAAAGAGGGCTAAATGTACTCGACGTTAACAGTAAATGCTGTTTTATTATGTCAATATTCCACACTAAAAAATGTGAGAGTCAGGGAATTTGGACAAAGTTGGTCAGGGAAAGTCAGGGAATTCAAAACAAAAATTTGAGTAGGAACCCTGTATACAGAAAAGAAATAATAGATTTTTGTTTTTAATATTTTGAAAACCTTAAATTTATAGTAGCATTAGGAAGTAAATAAAGAATAATAGGAGAAAACAATGGATAGAAAAGAGTAAAATATTATAAACAATATTTATAGTTTTACTAAAACAAATGATTAATTAATTTTTAAAACTTATGACAATAAAATTTTATAAAAAATCACAGAAAATTTGTTTTGATAGTATCAACTCTAAATGGTACATTTTAAATCTCTTTATAAGTCAGTTATTAATGATAGTTTTTGTATTTTGTTTATCAAAATATTAACATAACTAGCAGATGAGCCCGGCGTTGCTCGGTCAAAAAGTAACAATAGCGAAAATTAAGATTATTAGATTATAGCCAATCTTACCCGTTTTTACCGAGTGCAAGAATTAGGTTCATCCTCTTCTGAGACTAATTAGAGAATTTTTAGATGGGTTTAAAAACATGTTTGATTTCCCACAAAAAACTGCATTTAAAATAGTAAGAAAAATCCGAATTCAGGTAATCCTGTACCCTCTCCCTCTTCTCCACAGGGGAAATTTCGGAAAGTCTGTTCTTTGTCTACATTCTCATGACACACTCTAATTGTGTACTAAATTTCAATTTTCAACTCCTGACCATTTGGGCTCTGCATTTATTATTATTTGGGTTTTGTGAGTTATACTTGGTTGACACTGGGCAGTGTACTATGCTAGACCAGAATCAAGGCATAGTAACCAAAACAAAACAAAAATTAAAAAACTGTGTCATTGTGTGTATCTGTATTTAGGAATTTCCTAACAATATGACATGTATTCAATATTGTGGCCTTCTGTATTGTGATTTATGTGTTTCTATTCAATTGTAATGTGCCCAGGCTTTTGTGTATTGTGTGTGGTATCACACCTGTAAAGGAGAGAACAACAGGTACAATAAGCATCCTTTTCATCCTCCACAGATGCCTTATTTCCTAGGCGAGTTCTGTGTACTTGCTAATTTTTTCAGTGCATGTGTTTTTGTACATTGTGAGTGTTTGGAATGGCTATGTCTACAATGTATGTGGTTTTATTGTGTTTGTCAATGAGTGTGATGTCTGGTCTGTTGTGGTAAATTGTTTTATCTGTGATTATGGCTCTGTTGTAGTACATTTTGTGTGTGTTGTTTTCCAATACTGTCTGTGGAATGTATTTGTAGTATGGTTTGTGGATGTCTAATAATTTGTATTTGTTTGCAAGCTCTTGATTATGCTATGTAAACAATTGTCTGTGCCAAGAACTTGCAATCAGAAGGGATGTGTTGTTTAGTTTCTGGTATGATGTGGCATTTTCTGCATGTGTCATTTGTGAGTGTTGTATCTTTGAGTATGTGTTTTCTATAGTTTTTAGTATTTATGACCTGATCCTGTATGGCAATCATGAATTCTTCTGTCTTCCCAAAAAGGCATCCAGCTGTTTGATGCAGTTTTGTCAACAAAATTCTGGGCCAGGTCATAAGGATGCCTGCTGTGGAGTGCCTTTTGAGCCCACGATTGCTTAACGGTGTCTATTCTTTTTATATGTTGTGTTGTATCCGTATGTTGTTAGTGTAAATTTAATGGTGTGTTATTTGAGTCTGCTATAGTTACTTTAGTCTGCTTTATGTAACTATGCTTAGTAAGTGATGTTCTTGTTTTCCTTTGGAGTTGCTCAATATCTGTGTGAGTCCAATGTATAACTCCAAAAGAATAGGTGAGTACTAGGACAACATATGTGTTTATTGCTTTAACTGTGTGTTTTGCATTTAATTCTGTTCTGAGAATAGCATTTAACCTACTTGGTATTCTTTAATTAATCTTCACTTTATTTGTGTGTGTTCTGTTAGTTTGGCCTGTTGGAATCCTAAATGCTTGTAGAACTCACCCTCTTCCATGGATTCAATAATGTCTCCATTTCCAAGGGCAAAATCTTCTTTCTTCAGGACTCCTTTTTCTATTGAACTGTTTTGCATTTGTCTAGGCCAAACTCCATTTGTATGTTCTTGGTGTATGAGTGTGTGATTTTTAGGAGTTGATGAAGTTGTTTCTGTGTGGATGCATAAAGTTTTATGTCGTCCATGTACATGAGATGTGACAGTGTAAACTGTGTTGTTTTTTCGTGTCTGATATTGTAACCATATTGTATGTTGTTGAACATGTTGGATAATGTGTTCAGGGCTAAGCAGAACCAGAGAGGACTCAAAGAATCTTCTTGAAAAATTCCTTGCCTAATGAATATTTAGTTTGTTTGTATGGAAGTGTCACTAACCCTGAGACGTAGTTTTGTTCTCCAGTGCTGTATAGTGTTTTGAAAGAATGCAATGAGTGATGGATGTATTTTGTATATGTGTAGAATATGTAGCAGCCAACTGTGTGGAACACTGTCAAATACAAATACTTTTCTGTAGTCTATATATGCCATGTGTATGTTTCTGTGTTGTTTGTGTGCTTGCCATAGAATAACTGAATCTATGAGTAACTGTTCTTTGCATCCCTTGTGATTTCTACGGCAATGTTTTTGTTGTTCTGTAAGAATGTTGTGTTTTTCAACATGTTTGTATATTTTGTTTGCAATGCAGGATGCCAATAATTTGTAGAGTGTTGGAAGACATGTAATTGGTCTGTATTGTGTGGGTCTGTGGTATTGTTTTTTTAGGTTTCATGTAGGTGAGATGCCCTGAGTGAGAAATTTTGGCATGTCTTGTGGATTGATGATGATGTGTGTTAGATGTTTGGCTAGTTCCTGGTGCAGTGATATAAATTTTTTGTACCAGAAATTGTGAATGTTGTTCTCGTTGTGTGTTCTGTTAACAGCGTAGTGGATGTTGTGTATGTTTATTTCAGCACAGGGCATAGTTGGTATGTTATGCAAGTTTCTGTTCTCCTCTTCGATCCAGCCTGCATCAGCATTGTAATAAGTTGTGAGTTCTTCTTCTGTTGGTGTGCCACTGTGCTGTGTATCAGTGTTTGTTTTGGTACTGATTTGTCTGTAGAAAAGTTTTTCATTGTTTGTGAATAATTTATTTTGTTGTTTTCATAATGTATATGTTTTGTATCATTTGAGTCTACGTGCTTTGGCTGCGAGTTTCTGTTTTAGTGTATCAATGTATTCTGTAATGTGTGTGTTGTGATGTTCATGTTTTGTGTATATGTTGATTTTCTTGAAAATATTTTTGAGTTGTTTCTTTAATTTGGGTGTTATGTTGTTTTTAGTGTACTGTGTCAGCCTGCCTAATTGCTGTCATTTATTTGTTTCTATTCTTCTCTGCCAGGCAGGCTTGTGATAGAATTGTGTTTTGTGTGTATCTGTCTGTGATTGTATTTTCAGTCCATGGTGTATCACTACTGTGACTGCCCCATCATAAACTAATGTATGAATCTCTGAGAGTGTAGGAATGAAATGGATGTAGTGTGGTAATAAGTCAGTGTTTACATAATTTAGTGTGTTTCTTACTACCTTTGAAGTGTTGATTTTTTTGTATTCATGATCTTTGTTTGAGATCTGTACCTGTATATTTAGTGAGTGTTTCCTGAAATATAAGTGAGTGTGTATTAACTAAATCTATGTCTATGTTATCAGTGATGGATGAGAAAATGTCTGTATTATCAATGCTTATTGCTGGATTATCCTGACAGGTTACGTGATCTTCATTAATGTTAAATGTTTCTGTCTGTTGATGTATTTGATCAACAACCTGTTGTTTGATAAGTTCAAGTGTTGCTATTATTATTATCATCATCATCAACCCATCTCAATTACATTATAATATTAGTGTCAAATTTATGAGAATTTTCATTTTCACTATTCTATTTATCGGATATCTAATAGAAAAAAAAAAGATTAAAATCATTATTGAATTTTATCTAAGTAAATTCTTAGTATTTAAAAAGATTTTTTATTTAAGTAACCTAAAAAATAAAAAAAAAATGAGAAAATTTTTCATTATAATGGAGAATTAACTTACTTGATGATAACCTTTCTTGAATAAAATTATTAATTTTAAATTTTAAAATCTAAAAAAAATTTGTGTGGAACATTATATCTCGAATTTGGAATGAATTCAAATGTTTATTTGAATTCATTTATTTTAGATACATTGTTTTTGAGTTACCCAAAAAGTAGAAATGATTAAAATATTTATTAATTGCCAAAATGTATACTATATGTGCCACTATTTACTTTCCTTCTTTATTATTTATACTAAAACTAACTATATCCTCCTCGTCCCTTGGGGGTGGAATTTCCAAAAATCCCTTCTTAATGTGCATTCTCATGACATACCCCACTAAAATGTAGTCAAAAATCCAAAAAACTGCATCTAAAATAGTACTATAGAAGCAGAGTTCTTCAAGGTAGTCTTTAACCCATTACCTCTCCCCCGTGGGGTGATTTCCAAAAATGTTTTATTAGGGTTCATTCTCATGGTGTACCCTACTAAAAATGCAGTTAAAAATAAAAAATTGCATCTAAAATAGTACAATAGAAGCTGAGTTCTTTAGGATAAGCCTTAATCCTCTCCCTCTCCTCCGTGGGAGGAGAATTTCAAAAAATCTCTTCTTAGTGTACATTCTCATGATGTGCCTAACTGTCTACCAAATTTCAACTTTCAACTCCTAACCATTTGGGCTCTGTGCTTATTATTATTATTATAATTATCATTATCAACCCTTGTTGATTATATTATAAGATTTATTTTATTATCCAGATAAAATGATTAGTATTAATACTAATAGCCATCTAAAAATTAAAATTATATATTAAATATGAAGATTTATTAATTTGAAAAAACAATTAAACATATGTATTAAAGTATGTTTTTTCTAATTAAATCATTTGCATGACTGCATAAATTACATATTTTTTATATTTTTTGTTGTTGTTACTTTTATTTAAAGTAAATGAAACTTTCTAAATTCCAGATGATGAAATTCTGAAACTTTCAAGAAACTACTTGAAAAAGTCTGAAACTTTACCTAAAACAGTAATAGAAATATCAAAATGTACCAATCTAAATTATGAAGTAAAAGAAAAAGTAAGTTTATTAGCTTAAATAATCATTGTAAATAATTTAAATAACAATGCAATTATGACAAATATTAATTAATTTCTAATTTATACACATTAATAAATATATACAGTAGAACTTGGATTAAATTTGCTCTTTTGTTCAAAGATGTTTTCAATGTATAAAAGTAGCTTCACATATTCACTATTTGCTGATTGCTAATAATTGCTTGTTTTACCCACTTTGATTTGGTGCAATATACCAATACGGAGTGGGAAATGGCAAATACCAAATACAGTAGATCCCCTATAACACTGTTGATAATTCTGTGTTATATGAATTCCATGTTGTACGAGTCACTTAGATTTTACAAATGCGTGAGCCATTCACAGCCCGGCACACATATTTGTAAAATCTAAGTGACTTGTACAAAATGGAATTCATATAACATGGAATTATCAACAGTGTTATAGGGGGGTTTACTGTATTAGTCACAGGTAAATCAACCACGCTACTTGATATTGGCCAAATGCTTGCTCTGTATTTGTCAAATATCAAATGTGTGGAGCCACCTTAAAACATAAAATATGATACAAAAATGTTAATAATAATAAATCAATGACAAAAGTAAATGTTATATTTCTATAAATATTTTTAGTAACTTGAGAAGTGTGTTGAATGTGAAGACAATTACAAGAATTTTTTAAATCTTATGTTTTATAAACAATTTTTCATTGAACAATTAAATAAAAAAAGTAAATATTATTTACCATATACTTATTATTTATATTGTAATATTTTTTATATTTTTCATATTTAATTCAGAGAATATGATAATTTTAAAAATCTAATTGTAATATCTTTATAATGACTTTTTATATTGTAAAATATATGCTTACTAAAAATAATATTTTTAAAAATAGGCTGTTATTAAATGTACAAAGTTTCATCCTTCATCTCAAGTAGCATTAGTTGCTGGATATAAGGGCATTGCTACTTTATTTCAGGTAAGTGTAATTTTTAATATAAATCTTTCCCATTGATATTTTATACATTACATAGTTTTTTTTTATTCTCTACCTTGGGGGCACTAAGAATTTCTTTCTTCAGGTCCTTCATGAATTCAGATAGTCTCACAGTGGTGACAGCAGAATGAGTCTGAATATATCTGGGACAGACTATCAATAAAATATTCCTGGTATTTTTTTATCTGTATGGATTTGTTTCCAGGGTCCCCCAGAATAGTAGGCTGATGCTTAACCACCTCAGCTGTTTAACCAATGTAGTTCATAAATTGGATGCTTTTTTCAAAATAGCACTTTATTTAAATTACTATCATATTAATTCTAAAAACATATTAACTTGTTTAAGCTCATTTTTAATTATTTGTTTAATCTTGTTTTAATTGTGTTTTTTTAATTTATATTTTTATGATATTTTTCTCTATGCCAAAAAGTAAAAAATAAATTTTGACCTTTGTTAATTGGAATGAAATAACAGTTGTTAATAATTAACTTCGTAACATTTGAGAATAGATCTTTTAAGATGAGTTCAGTGAATGAACTAAGTACTGTATATTAGTGCGTGTTTGGATTATTCACTGAATAACTGTTTTGGTGTGTGGGGTTCAGGAAATAAAGTTGCTTTTAATGCCAGCACTAAGTGCCCTATGTAGACTAAGTTCTTCACTAGTGTAACAATATGGTTGTGTCCATGTGTTGCCAGTTTCTTTAGAAAGAGTACAAATTTTCTTTAGTTTTGGATGAAGAATTATTTCAAACAATTCAAAATTCAAATTAACATTAACATTTTGTAATAGTAGCAAAATATGTAAGGGTTGTTTTTCCAATATTTTGAAAGAATGCACAAATTGTTTAGTAATTCTTTGCTTATATTACATCTTTTCCTGTGCCCAGAAACAAACTGATAAAAATGCCAAAGCTTATTTATTAAATTTATTTGATCATAAAAGAAAAAAAATGCTAATTATGCAGAGTTATTTAAATTTATTTTTACAGTAAAACATAATAAGAGTGCTTGAAATAAATACCTTTGATTTTGATTTTAAACTGACAATTAAGTTAATTATTTCATAATAAATTGGTTTCAGTTATAGTGTTCTACTATTTAATTTTAAGTTTCGTTCTTGTTTTTTGTCTGCTTTTTGGCTAATGCCAGCATTATCCACTTGTATTTTGAATAAAATGAAGTTTATATGGATAAAGTTCAAAATTAATATATTATTGTTCTTGCTTTAATCAGAAGACTTGGATAAAGTTAGCATTAACCAGTTAATCCTAGCTGTATCTGATTCACAACCTTTAGCTGTAGCATGTATATAACCATATTTCTGGGTGATTACAAATGTACTGTCTCTTCTTAGCCTTATAATTTTCCATCATTGTATCATTTTGCAAGTTTTTCATATCAAAGATATCTCCCAATTATTCTTATAGCAAATTTATATTGTTTGTTAAATATTAAAATTAACATAATTGATAATTTTAAAAAATAAGATTTATTCTTTTAAGTATTTAAATAGAATTTTTTTAATAAGTTATTAAAAGTTATTAATAAATATTTTTATTTCAGGTTGATGGTAAAACTAATGCTAAGATTCAGTCCATATATTTTGAAAACTTCCCCATTCATAACGCATGCTTTACAGTTGATGGTTCTCAGTTTGTTGTAGGTTCTAAAGAATATGGATTTTTCTTTTATTACGATATGTTTTCTGGAAAAATTGTAAAAGTTCCACAGGAAAAAGGTATTAATTATTTGATTTTAATATTTACATTCCTTATTATATTAATTAAAGGAAAAGAATATTAAATCACTGAAAAATTTAAAAATACAGTAAATCCCTGCTAATTTGGACTAATTTAATGTAAAATTTATACTGTATATTAAAAGTAAATTATATCATTTAGGAATGGATCAATATAACATGCGAAGATTTGATGTGTCTCCGGATGGAAGATTCATTATAGTTTATGGAAGATTTGGAAATATTCATTTATTGAGTGCCAAAGTAAGATTAATGATCATATTAATTTATTTGTTTCTATGACACACAATAATTGGTACATTATATAATTCTGAATAGTCATATCTTTTTAATTTAAATATGAAACTCTGAAAATTTAATTTAAATATGAAACACAAGAATTTCATCCAGACTAGTAACTTGCGGAACATGTGGCCACCAATTGCTAAATGGATAAAACCACTAAACACCGGAGCATATTGACATAATTGTAAGATTATACATCTGAATTTAGATAAGATATAATTTATAGTAATTGGCCAGATAGCTATGCAGTAAGATATCAGCTTATTGTGGTAATTGATCTCAATTTGAACTCAATCCAAACTCCCATAATTTTAAAAAGTTCATGGAAAAAGGATAGTATGAAAAAACGATTTCAGTTATGATGTTTATTTTTCAACATATGCTCCATTAGGGTTGATACATTTCTGCAAATGTTGATACCAGCCTTTAAGTTTGTCTGAGTAGAACTGAGGGTCTTGTGATCTGAACCATGTCAGAACAGCTCTTTTTACATCTTCAACTGATGGAAAATTGGTACCTTTCAGTGACTTATCCATTTGTAGGTTGTTGACTTATTTGGAGCATTATCATCATAAACTTGTTTCAGAGCATCAATGATTTGCCTATTCTCCCAACCAAGTTTTACTGTGAATTTTATGTTTGTTCTGGTCTCAATTTTGGTGGATTCCATGTTGCTTGAATGGTGCTTAACTTTCTTAACTGGCAGCACTGTGTTCTTACCTGCATTTAAGGGTTCATGTTTGGACACGTTGGTACAAGAATGTTCAGGTGCATTGAAATCAAAATTCTTCCAAACAATTTTTAGTTACAGACTTTTTCCACAAACTTTTTGGAGCACCCACGTATTTCTGACAACTTAAGGGCTGGCCACAAAATTGGATGTAACTAAAATTGTGGCCAGCCATATAATTATCCTTAGCCCATCGTCACGTGCGTGCGCAGTCAAATAGAAATTATGCACCCTCGGTCAATCAGGCACCAATTTAAAAATTAATTAATAAAAATTTAGTGACAAAAAATGGGTAATTCTACTTTAATCCAGTTTTGTAATATGTTTGTAGTCGAATTCAGTCAAAAAATTTTAATTTTATTATAATTTATTGAAGATTTTAATTTTTTAATATTAGAAGGTAATTAGCATCAATTACAAGCTGTCGTATTTCATCTTCGATCCCATTCAAATTTATTGTCCTAGACACGCACCGATGTTTGTTTTTATTTCTACTGATGCTTTCACTTTTATTTCAACTTTCTCTGCTTTGGTTTCAGAAGGTGGGGAGACAGGTGTCACGTGGTCGCTTATCTCACTTTTTACCACAGAAATTTCCTTACCTTGAAAGTTTCATTTTTTTTCTCTATTTTAATTATTGTTAACTACAGTCGACCCCCCTATAACGTACGTTCCTATAACGACAATTCCTATAACGTAGCGAAAAAATTGTAGCAACTTTCGTATAACGTACCTCCTATAACGTCGTTTCGCGACAAGATTGATAGAGTCTGGACCAATAGTGGATGAGCAGCCGAACTACTTTCCTCCGACCCTGCGCCACGCTACGGAGCGGCTAAATTGAGTTTGCTATCGTCTGTTTAGTATTATATATAAATTATATATAAATTAGGTACTGTACATATAATTATATATTAATTATATATAAATTAGGTACTGTATATATAATTATATATTAACTTAATTTATTGTAACTTTATTATAATTATATATATGCTTTCTGCCGCCTGGCAACACGCTACGGAGATTTTAGGCTAGTAAGTTGAGTTTATTATCGTCTGCACAGTATGTAAATTAGGTACCGTAAGTCTAATACAGCACTAATTTTATACATTTCTTGTGAAAGAAACACTTCTTATTCAACGTCCATAAAAATTATTTATATTAATGATGTCTCCAAAGGTCAAGTTATTTTTCCGCCAAAAATTCGTTATCAGAAATTGCGGCCGTCGTTTCGCGTGCTGTTCCGCGATGAAAACCAGCTTTAAGCAACGGCGTAGTCGAACGGTGTAAGTAATCCTACAATTTTTTGTTTATAGCATAGTTTATACAGATTATTCCCAAAAAATTATACGTATTTTGGAAATGTTGAGTGGAATTAGTCTAGAATCAGTTAATTTTATAGAAGAAAACCTATCAAACAGCCTTAGTCCGTAAAGTTCCCACCTATCAGGCTGCGATTGGCTCATTCCTACAACGTAATTTTCGGTTAGCGTGGAACGTATCTAAGCGTTATAGGGGGGTCTACTGTATCTGTTTTTGATTGATTCTCATATTTATGTATTATCTGAAGTTTCACATATTTTTTATTTAAGTTTTACGAATTTATTTTTTTTTCTTCGATTTTTATATATTAAATATAATAAAATTCAAAAATTAATTAAATATTATTGGAAATGCTAAACTGTAAGTGCAGTGTGTTTTACAATATTGTTGCAAACAGATATAGTCAATTATTTTATATACGTGTTTATTATTTTAATTTTCATAAATTATTTAATTTGATGCTACACGTCACGCTCAGAATGGATCGTGAGTTAATCAATGTGGTGGTGGGACTTGATTTAATTACTTTTTCATCTGAGACGTTCAACAAAGTGTGTTATTTTAATGCAATTTTCATGTTTTTACTGATATATGTGCTCGATTACAATTATATTTTCGATTTCTACATTTTCTCTACTATCTAAAGGTATAAAATACTTATTAGTAAAATCTGAGGTTTTTATTCATATTTTCTGAAATTTGATCTGTAAATGCAAAAACTATACCTTATCAAATATCAACTGATATAAATAATTTCAACTTTCTCTTATTGACATCAGATTTGTTAAATTTCACAAGATCGTATTATTTTTCAAATTCAGGGTAGTAAAGCTTTGTTTATTTTCTCCCATGAAAGTAATTGACTCTACCGGTCCCCCACTGTGAAGTACAATAAATAAACTGCTAATTTTTTTAATACTTAGTTTTCAAAAACTCCCTTCTCTGTCAGTAATGGGTTGAACAACTAACAAATTGTTTTCTTGCACTCAGAGGAATGTTTTGCTTCAGATTTGACAACTAATATTGCCAGTAATGAATTCTATAATTTATATATTTAATTCTTTAAGAAATATTTATAAAATTACCAAATAAATGTTTGTTTACAATACCTAAATGGTATTGCTACATTATGAACATAAATTTTAACTATTGCAAAATAGAAAGTATTAGATTTCTTATCATATAACTAATCGCGAGGCAGCAGAACAATTACACAGAAGCAAGAAAATCACGTTATCAAAAAAAGCTGCAATGACTTATTTGAAATGTTTTGAGAATAGTCCTGTCATTGAAACCAGGAGAAAAAGATATAATGTACTGTATAGCATTGTGGTAAAGGTTAAATATTCTATATAGTTATTTTATTTAATTGCTATTGTTGCACATAACAATTGCGTAAGTACAGCGCTCTCACACAGCAAGAGAATTTACTGCAGGTAATGAAAAGGTATTTGTTTTCATTAAATTTCTCTGAAAAAAAGTCATAAACTTTAAAACTACTGTGGGAATCGCTTCAGAATATATCAGATGAAAAATACTAAAAAGCCCATATTTCAACTGTTTTATTTTTAAGAAATTCAATAAAAAACCACTATGTATCTGCTGGATACATACGCGCCTAAATGCAGTTAATAAAAGAAAATTCTTTAATTTATATATCACAGTCACTCACCTTTTTATATTTATAAAATTAAAAATTACAAAACTTATATGGGGCATGGTGTTATATAATTTTATAAAATTATTTAAAAATACCAATGAAAAATTAAATTATTTCCGGTCAAATTTCAGTTTTTTAAAAGTAATTTGCTTTAAAATAATACGATTATTAGCAAAGAAGTGTGCGTGCCTCCACTGTGGCTATTTTTAGTAACATCTACTGGCAGAAAAATTGAAATCCAAGATCATGCATGCCATAGTGCCGATTCAGCACCAATAATAAAATAAAAATAATGAAATGCTTTAAGCAAAAACTAAATTGCGCAGTGTAAAATTGAAGAAAAATTAGACAGGTAATAATTTTTTCAGATTTTTCACACAGAATTTTTACATGAACTAATTAAAAATCGATTGGTGCCTAATAGGCACTAGGCACGTGCCGACAGGTTAATATACTGAATCCTTTCTAGTCTTGAGAAAATGGATAATTTCAAGGAACAGTCTGGTAATTGTAATTTAAAAATGATGTAAAATATTTTCACATTTTTTAAAAACTCATTTCTCCCCTCAAATTTAAGCCTTTGCCTTTTTATTATAATTATTTTTATATTATTTATTATTATAATTAATAATATAAAAACTATTTTTTTAAATAAAATCTCATAACAGCTGGGAAACTTATGTAACCTGTTGTTGGATTTTTTATTGTTTAAATAAGATGATAATTTAAATTGTATTTTATGGAATAAAACTTAGATTATTATTTAAAAAATTAATAACATTTTGTTTAACTTATCTTTAATCATATATTTCAGTCTAAAGAATGGATTTCTACAATGAAGATGAATGGTGAGGTATATTCAATAGCATTTGACAAAGAAGGCTCAAAGATGTATTCTCATGGTGGTAAGGGCAATAAGCTATTAGTTAATTCTAAATACAGGTAACCCCCATATAACACGGTAGTTACGTTCCAAAAAATTGCCATATTATGCGAATCCGTGTTATACGAAACAAAGAACTAATACGAAAAGGAGGGTTAGGTTCCAAAATTAAAAAAACATGCTAGTATATTTTCATAATTAAGATAAATATCTTCATTAAAATTTTTTAAGTGATACATATTAATATAAATTAAACAATGTTTTCTTTGTCATCACTAAAAACACTATTAATTAACCGAGAGCATTTTTTTTTGGCAAGTTATCCTTATCCTTATCCTCTGCTGCATTATCTTCAGATCCATGCTTTACCTTTTGCAAAATGTATGTAATTTTAGATTGCTTGCTTCTAGTTAAAAGGTCTTTATAAATTTCCTTATATGGTGCTAAGCACTTATGAAGAATAAAGCAAGTATGGAATAAGGGAAAAACATTCTGCAACATCAGAAGCGTCGCGATCTGGCAACATTGAAACAAGTTTCGAAAAGGATCACGTGTATCGACAGAAGGCGAGAAGAGAAAATTTACATACTTAAGTACTAATAGTTCACGAAAATTATTATTTTCGTGAACTATTATTACTTAAATATGTAAAAATTTATTACATTTCCTGTTGTACAAGGGTTTTACCCAATTCTCGAACCGTGTCAGAGTGAATCCGTGCTATAAAAGTACCGTGTTATACAGGGGATGGTACCAATTCTCGAACCATGTTAGAGTGAATCCGTGCTATAGAAGTGCCGTGTTATACGGGGGTTACCTGTAATGCATAAATAATTAATATTTTAATTGTTATGAAGATGTAGAGATGTATTCTTTTTCTATCTGGAGTATGAATGTTAGCATTTGATTATTTTTTGCAGGATATAAGTATAATATATGAAGAAAAAATTTTTCTATAAAACTTGAAACTATTTTGAATAAATAACTAGAAATATTAGTTATTTTCTTTAACTCTTTATGCCCTGTGGTCACCTAAGAGGTCATTTTAATCATAGCAATTGTGAGTTCAGCCAGACCCATAATGGAGCAGCGGTAGGGACAGATTATCAATGAAGAATTCTGGGGTATTTCGACTGCAGGTCCCAGCTGGTTGTCATCTGGCTGTCTCAGTTTTCCTAATCTAGTAATATTAATTTTATATTTTTTAAATCTAGCACTTTGGCTATCTTCAACACATCAAACTGTAAACAGAATGCAAAACTAAAATTCAAACATGTGCATTTAAAATTATAGAATCAATTTTAAATGTATATATTTGGCTTCCAGTCTTGTATTCTATTTGTATTTTTGATTTTTGTGTACAGGCACAATGAAGATTGTTGAAGATTGTCTAAGTTGGGCCAAATTCATTTAGGAAACAAATTCTATTGGGTTGTTCGGAAAGTAATTTTGTTTTTTTTTCCGTGGCAAAAAAAACAATATTTTTATAATAAATAAATATTTTATTGAATTATATATTGACCATTTTGGTCAAATACCTGTTGCCATTGTTTCTCATGTTAGTAGCCAATGTGGAATCATGCTAGTAGCATGATTCCACATTTATAAAAGTTTTGACGTTTGCTTACAAAAAATGGATCCAAGTAATTTTTGGCATTTTTATTTCAAGTAAACATCTTAGTTTAAAAAATTTTGTAAAGACTGGAACAAGTAATAATCTGAGGGTGCCTGATCTGGTGAATATGGTTGGTGTGATAGCACATCCCATCCCATCTAAGCTGTAACAGTTTCTGACCAGTTACCAAACTTGTGTGAAATTTGGCATTATCATGGTAAAACACTACACCTGTTTTGTTGATCAATTCTGGCCTTTTCTATTTGATAATATTACTCAATATATATCGTAAAGTCTTTGCAAATCCGCACTTAAAATGTAAATTTTAATATTGGCGGTAGACTATCACACAGCTTTAGCCAATGATTTCACTTTATTCTATTACTATAGATGCATTTCGGTCCTTTTCTAAAAAAGGTCCCTCTTCAGTACTATAAAATACAAAAGTTTACATAAACTTTTTTTGCAAGTAAATATTTAACATAACAATAAATATTTTAGTATTACAATACCATTTGAGTACACAGTTTTATTTATACATCCCTTTAGCACTTTCATCNGATATCGTTCATACTTCCCTTTACCATATCTATATCTGTTCATCTGTATCTGTATAGAATGGGAAGATAAAAGAGAAAATACAGTTTTCTTTTGCTCTTTCAGTTTTGTCGTCGATCGTTAAATTAATTTAAACATCACCTTTTCATTGGACAGACAAAATCTTTAGATAGGTTATATATCAAATTTCTTTTATAAAATACCGAGATGGAATCAACTGAATGTTATTTCGTCTCTATTCACAGCCTGTTGCTGTAGTATGTTAATTACTCGGGTAGCCTACGCAAGTATACGTAAATTGTTCGAATTAAAAACACGTTCTTTCATTTCACCGTTAGACAGTTCTTTTCTTTGCCTTCATAAATAAATAAATAGTATACAGCATATAATTTTTGGAAACGATTATAAAGGAAGGCGCGTGTAGAATTTGGATGTTCTTTTACGTTTGATTTATTTTGTCAATTTCATAAAAACGTTAACTTAAAATAATAATAGTAATAATAAGGACAAGTGAGACTACAGGAAATAATCTAAAAAGCAAAAATGAGTATTTTTTTTTCGCATTCACTTTTTCTCAGTCTATTAAAATGATTTTCCCGCACCCATGACATCCTGCTTTTCGACAAAAGTGGAGAAAGAATATGGAAGAACCGTCTTTTTTTATTTATTTTTTTCTGACGGTTGCAGACGGAAATGAATTCTGGACAGTTACCATGGCAACGACAGGGGTTGGCCACGGACTATTCGTGACCATCATCTACCCTAACTTATGCAGACAGACATATTTCATTTACAATGACATTTTCTTGTGATCATTGTAACGCAAAATTTTAAAAACAATATCCAAACATTTATATTAAAAAAAGAAAAAAAAAACGAATATAGAATTTCTGTTATACGTATGTTTTGTATGTAAAATAATATCTGATTTTTTTTTATTTCAAATTGTTAGGCAATTTTCACTTGCCTTGATGTTTAAGAGATAACGAAAATACGCCCATTCCAAACGGAGTTTCTAAATTTTATCGTGTGAACGGGGGAACGATAATGGGAAGTTGAAAAGGGTTAATCGGGGGTATGCCACACATCATCGTTTTTAGTGCTCTACTTCAGTTGGGATTTATCTCCGCGTATTACTATCTTCTCCCTTGTAAAATACATACAGTAGAATGACTGCATACCTTCAAATCGTAAATGTAATGCAGGAAAGTCATTCTTGATTTTTCTGGATTTTATGGGAATTGAATATGTTTTTTTTAATCTGGAATATATTAATATTTAGCCTAATTATTTCATTCTAATTATTTTTTTTATAGATTATTCATTTTAATAATAACAACATTAATAAGTATGACTTCTTTTTAAAGGTTTTTAGGGAGAGGTTCAACTTTTGTTTTTTCTCAGTCACAATTTCTACAGTTACTTGGTGTGGCATCTGACTGGCATTCAGAAGCTTTATTGGACTTAGGTGCTGGAGATGGAAGTGTAACTCAAGTGATGGCCTCCCTTTTCGATACTGTTCATGTTACAGAAATCTCCTCTGTGATGCAGAGGATCCTGACAAAGAAAGGTTATCGGTGAGCCAATTTTTATGAAACTCGTAAATAGAACAAAAATTATAAAATTTATCATCTTTTGTCTTCTATTTTCTTAAATATATTTATTTATTACTATGTAAAACTTTCAGGTGATGGACAAGTATACATTTGGGACATGAATGCAAGAGAATGCGTTCATAAATTTTATATAATAATTTATCCATCTGTCATTGATAAACAACTTAAATATATTTATTTATTTATATGTAAAACTTTCAGGTGATGGACAAGTATACATTTGGGACATGAATGCAAGAGAATGCGTTCATAAATTTTATGACGAAGGTTGCATCAGTGGTACTGCCCTTGCCATATCTCCAAATAATAGATATCTTGCTTCTGGGTAAGATATTGTGAAGAGTTGGAATTAATAATAGCTTTAAATTTACAAATACAAATAAATTTCTTTTCAGCTCTGATTCAGGTGTAGTCAACATATATCATGTAGATCAATTAATTTCAAATAGCAATCCTAAATGTATAAAATCTCTAATGAATCTGACAACCGAGATAACCAATCTGAAGTTTAATTGTACCAGTGAATTACTAGCAATGTCATCTCTTTATAAAGATAATGCAGTAAGATTGGTAAGTTTTTTTATTTTCCATTTTAAATTTGATATACTGAGGCCTTTATATCTGTCAATAACTTGGTTTTATAAAATGCAGATCAACTTTATCAATCAAAAACCCCATTGCTATCAACTCATTGATTTTTGATAAAAACTTAACTATTTATTTATATTTTTGACTTTGTAAGAATGTAACTAAGTGTAAGAATAAGATAATTATTCTTATATTTTTTAGTGTAGATTATAATGGAAGTAGATAATAAATAAGGATACAAATATATTATTTTTACAATTGCAAATTATTTTGTCATATATAGCGACCTCAGAACAAGAGCAAACCGAGTCTAGTTTGTAAGGTTATTGCCCTAGGACAAGGAATTTGCTTAAAAGCAATTGCTTTATCTAATGCCATACAGATCCAAGTCAAATTTGTTGTTACAGCCCAGACCCAAAAAAGTAAAATATGAACATATTGTGTGAAAATTTTCATTATCTCAAAATTAGGATTTACTCTTGCTCTGAGGTCATTATATTTAATAAATTAATACAGTTGCAAAATTAAGCATATGAGATGCTTAAAGATCTGATTAATAATTTTAAATTTATTAAAGACAACAACTTGTATTCATACAAAGTAAAATTGCTCAGCATTTATTACCATGTAATAGTTTACTTATATTAATTTTCATAGTCTTTTCAAAATAATTAGAGATGTAACTTATAAACTTACAAAAAAAATTATAACAAAAAAGCTATGCAGTAATTGGACAATTTTATGTAGGTACATAATTCATCATATAGATATTAAGTGTTGTAAGGTTTCACAAGTACTGAAGAAATTATTCTTTCTGGTCTTGCTCTGCAAATACACTTTCTTCATAACAACACAAGACTGTGTTGCAGTAAAGAAACAACAAAAGAACTTAAAAATCTGAAATTACAACTTATTCTGCACCATAAGACTTCCAATAGTTCTCCAACATACAGGAGGCGTCAAAAGGCCAAATTTTTTCATGGACAGGAATGGACCAAAGAAAACCAGAAAGAATTTTTCATTCACAGAATGCAAAAATAGATAATCACCATTTTGGACATTTGGAAAAATGTGTCACTACATATGATTAAAATTAAACTGGTCCCATGGTAAATAGATCTGATACGTTTTGGGGTATATTTTATTTTTACTTGTTAAATAATTTTTATAATGTTATTCATATATTATTATATTACAGTATATTTTTATGATGATTCAATTATAAGAAGATAACTAATATAAACTTCTATTTCTTTTATTATATATCATCAAGAATGTTACAAATATCTGCATTTCTGAATTATCAACAATATATCTCCAAGTCTAATTTTTGATATTTTAAAATATGACTCTAAGAAAGGCAATTATCATCTAATTTTTGGTATCATGAAATTATGTTCCAATCTAGAAAGTTTGAGTATGTAATTATTGATATTTTAAAACTTTGTATCTGAATTACGTAGGTAATACTTAATACATTTATCCAATCAAGGTGTCCTGCATATTTTTACCCAGATGCTTTGCATAATCTTTGATATTGGAAAATTAAATTCCATTTTGTATATTTAATGTAGTTTTCGATGAATTAGATTGAAAATCTCTAACTTTTCCACAAAAATTTTCAATGTAGTTTATCTGCAGATTTGGAAATGACATTATAAGTCAAACAACTTAATAATTTTTTCACCAGGACATTTTTGCTTAAAAAGTCAAATAGTATAGGGTTGAACGAAAAGTTCGTTCAGTTCTTAGAGAGAAATAAAAACCTTTAATTCACAATACATTCACCCTTCTGTTCAATAACCTTATGCCATCTGATGGAAAGTTTGATGGAATTATGAATCTGAAACCTACCCAATTCTATAATGTGAGTTTTGATACAGAATAATTTAAATGGTATAGAATTCCAAACGAAAAAGATGATAGTCTGAGGGAGCAATATCCAGAGAATATGGAGGGTTACTCAAAACATCCCAGTTGAAATCTAGAAGTTTGTGGCGTGCAGTCTTGCATTATCATGATGAAATATCACTCTCCATCGGTTCAAAAGTTCTGGATGTTTTTGATGCACTGCAGCCTGGAATTCAGTTTATCCAATTGGAGACAATATTCATTGGAATTAATTGTTTGGTTGGTGGGTAAAAGCCTGTAATAAAGAACCCCTTTTCAATCCCACCAAACTGAAATCATTACTTTTCTGGGATGCTAGCTTTAATGTCATTTCCAAGGAAAAAAAATATGTGACCAGTAGGACTGATCCAATACCTTTGGGTATATCTTATTAATAAACATAAGATTTTTTATTTTGGTAGTTTCATCAAAAAATACTAACTGCTAAAGGAATTTAAAAATCTGTTGATTGAAAGTTTTTACATGATAAATATAAAGAAGTTTTGTATTAGTAAAACTTCTACACATCAACAATAAGGATTTAAAAGTAAAAATGTATCTACAGAACAAAATATCTTTTTTCTATTTTAAATAATAGCATAAATATAATCCCAAACTAGCGTTAAGTTGCGGCATTGGCAGATCATTTGACTTACTCCAAGATATCTTGCATTGAATATTGTTATAAACAATCCATTTTTCATCGCTTTAAAGATGGAGATGGATCATCATCATTGTGTTTTAAAAGTGAATCACAAACAGAAACATGCTCAATGAGATTTTGTTCACTTAACTGATGAGGGAACACAAACATCATAACAGGAAGTGTATCCAAGGATAGCCAAATATCTGACAACAGATGTTTGGAATATTTTTAAGGTGTTGGCTATCTCTTGTGTTATTCTGCACTCATCTTCTGTGGTCGAGGGCCATCCCAACCGAGATGCATCTTCGAGAGAGAAATCTGCCCTAAATTTTGCAAACCATTTCAGTCATGTTCGATCAGTAACTGCATCCTCTCCATACACAGCACAACTTCTTTTGAGTTTTTGTTACATTTTTCCCTTTTTGGAAATAATAGAGCATGAGATGTTGAAAATGCACCTTCTTATCTTCTATTTTAATGTTAATTATTTTGTAAGGGAAAAAAACTAAACTTACATATTAAATATACAAATATTCATAATGACAACATAATCAAATTAAAACTTGATAAGTATGACAGAGTCAACACAAACAAGCGATTATGTAAATGCCCAAACAAACTTTCAGTTCAACTCTATATTTTCATCTGCTGATAAGAAAGAAAATGTTTTCCAATTCTGTATGAAGAATAAAATAATTTTTGTATGTTTATTTTTTGCAGTGAGTAAACATATCTTTTAGTATTAATTACAATTAATGCAACTGCATTTTATTGAATAATGGTATTATCATCTTATGCAGTGAAGCACCATCATTATTAATATCTGTTATACTAAATACATAGTGTTTAAAGCAATTTTTTGAAGTTTTCTGTTGTATAATAATGTCGTCATCATTATATAAATATTTTTCTTACAGATTATTTTGATATCATCAAAGAGTAAAAGGTATAATGACCAAATGGCATTATATTTATGCTATTATTTCAAATAGAAAAAAATTGTTCTGTAGATGCATTTTTACTTTTAAATCCTTATTGTTGATGTGTAGAAGTTTTACTAATACAAAACTTATTTATATTTATCATGTAAAAACTTTCAATCAACAGATTTTTAAATTCCTTTAGCAGTTAAGATTTTTTGATAAAACTACCAAAATAAAAAATCTTATGTTTATTAATAAGATATACCCCAAAGGTATTGGATCAGTCCTACTGGTCACTTATATTTTTTTTTCCTTTTCCAAATTAATACAAGTCAATTAATGATTAGTGTTTCTTTTTTTTATATTTTTACATTAATATTCAGCAGTCAAGATCCAATATTGCTGTATAGGATCACTACATGAAATCATACTTTTATTTTGGAATAACTGTGATATCCAAATCACATTGTGATAAATGCATCAAAAATCTATATCTCGTCATAAATATTATTTTAAAATATTTCTTTTTTTTCTTTTAAAGGTGCATTTTCCATCAATGACTGTATTTTCCAACTTTCCTAATCATAATAAAAATCTGAAGCATCCACATTCGTTAGACATATCATTAAACAGTGGCTTTTTAACGATAGGAAGTAGTTCCGGTGTTGCTCATTTATTCAGGTAAATGTTTTTTTTTTTTAAAATCTACAAAATATTATGGGTGTACAGTACTTTTCTACATTAATCTTTGTTTTGTAAACACAGAAGGCCTTTTTATACCCCCAAGAAGTAACTGGATGATGATGAAAATCTCTGAGGAACTAATCCAGATATCTGGATTAGATTCTCAGAGGTTTTCATGGCTAACTTTTATCACTTTATCAGGCTATGTACAATGTTGCATAAAGTGTATCTCTGTCAAATGCACAAAAATTCTTATTAAATAGAGAGAGGAGCAGTAATTTGTGAATCATTTAATATAATTGTTGTATACATACAAATGATGTTGAAGCTACTAATATATTTTAATTGTTTTTGTAATCATTATTTAGACAGAATATTGTTATACATTTAAAACTTATTGACGAGACTATGTCTCGTCTCTAAAATGATGCTGCTGTCAACAGCTACACATTTTAGAGGTATGAAGGGAGTATAGTCAGTACATGTCAGGAGTTGCAATTTGGCACAGAGTATTTGGTGCCCAATTCATGCACACAAAATAAACCAGACTTGTAGGTAGTCAGGGGACCAAGAACCTGGTCAAAACAAAATGCTGAGACTGTTTCTACAAACAGGCACGAGTGCAAGATTTGCTCATGCATTGCTTGCACTCTGAGACATAACAAGTAAAACAGTCTTATCCCAAAAATGGCTTTATCATCTCTGAAATTTTTACTTTTCTCAAATATCCCACTTTAGTGACACTGGCTAGATGGAAAAAGGACTTTTTCTTTCTTCTTGGGTTTATATGGAGATGTCAGCCACTTGTGCTATATTCTCCAACAAGCTGCTGCCTGGTGGTTAGTTGAAGCAACCCGTTTGGCAAATAAACAATTCCAAGGCTGCCACGTGCTGGCTTGGCGGGACATCAGTGGACAGCCAGTAAATTGGAATTAATGAGTGGGTCAGGTTGAGGTTGAGGGACAGATTTGTACTGAGGGTACGTCGGGGCTCATTGTAACATGGGTATTTGAGCCAGTAGTGATACGATATTTCCTCTGTGCTGCAGTTAGGGCACGCTGGCAAGGGAGTGTAAAAATGCATTCAGTGGGGCCAGCAACATTTCAGTTTGACAGGAGGAAGCATATTGGTAAGGCCACTTGGTGAAGGTGGTTGCACCCTTTCCTGCAAAGACTTGGCGTCCATGAGGTTTTGGATGGTTGATCTTCTGATGCTCTGAGAGAGATCATTCAGCTATAACAGGCGCATATTGTGCTGATAGGAGTGCCAGTTTGTATGGCTTTGTTGGCTGCTTCGTTGACTGACATGTCTACAAGGCCTGGGGTCCACCTGATGGCAAGGGTTGAAAATGATGTGATAGTTGCTGTAAGGCCTCTATGATGAGTGGCAGTGGCGGTGACGAATGGGGGACTGACTAAGGTGAAGGGCCTCCGCTCCAAAGATACTGCAACCTTTGTCTAGTTGTCATGTTTCAGTAATTTGATGAGAAGGATTGACCACCCCAGCGGTTGTCCTGAGTGGGGTTTTTGAAGCTTCTAATAAGCATCCAGTCTTCCCACCAGTTAGAAACCTCCTCTTTAAAGTGGGTGCAAGTGCCTGCAGATGGACTGGGTTCTGCTGTTGGGAAGATGTTTAGGTGTAAAAACAGTTGCAGATGCGTGGTGTCTGGTAGAGTGTTCTTTTGGTGGTATAGCTTTGGCAGGGATAGGCCAGTCTGCTTTATCATAAAGACCCTCATGAAGTAGGACTCCTGGTAAGGGTGTCAATGATAAGACAGTACACCATCATTGATACCCTTACTAGGTGTGTAATATAAAGCTTATGTAGCAGACTGAAGGGGCCGCTTGCCAGATGGGTAACGACATGTCATGGCCTGCATGCAGAGCACTGTTGTATAGGATATGTACCCTGTCTCCGTGTAGAGTGACAGAATGGGAGTTGTTAATGGTATCCCAAAGGTTGTGCAAAGAGCAACATGTAGAGTCTTTTTGATGTGGTTGAGCATGCTGGGAGGAGCACCTTCCAAGAGCGGCACACCAAATTTAGCCGCCAGGCTTAGGACTGTATAGAATAGACAAAGGAGGTCAGTTGTCCAGGCCCTATTCCTATGTGATGTGAAGTATTTTAGGTATGTGCCTGCCTATGCTAATTTCGTCTTGAGGAGTCCAATTCTCACATTTTCTAAGAAGAAAAAATTATATTCCCGATCACTTTTTGTGGCTGTTCTAGCCTGGATATCATCCAGCTACCCATACCAAACCTATAACTGGCAAGAATGGGGATGTTGATAATATCATTTTTCTATAGAGATTTAGAAAAAAACTTTTTAATTATTTTGTAAAATTTATGTACAAATTTTAATGCATTTAATTTTTGTTTGTTACAGGTTAAAACATTACAACAACTACTGAAAGTGCCACTGTATCATGTTTTGTATAAATAAAATCTCGTCATTATATTTTATATAAAAATTTGTCTACATTGTTTATTCAAGAAAAATTCATTTTAATGCTTTTCAATAAATAATAAATTGTTTTGCAACTAACATCTATACTTTCAGTGTTGTAAATCACTGCCTAAAGACAGGGAATGATGGATGAGTAAGTAGAAAGGGAGAATCCCTTTAACAATTCAGTTGTTCTTTTGACTCAAGATGTAGCAGCCATATATAGTAATATCAAAAGTTTCTGGCCTTGATCTCCCTAAAAATAGGTGTATCATTTTGTCATTGCCTGATTAGTCAATTTGTTAATTTCAACAAAATTTTATTTGTTGGCTTAACACATGTAGTTGCAGCAAATTTTGAAAATACTTAAGCTGTGATTAAATTTTTAATTCTCACTTTTAACAAAAGAAGGAAAAAGTCCATTGGATATTAAAGAGAACCTAGATGCTGTTTATGAAAACTCTTCTCCTCCATATTTAAAAAAACAATTCTAATTATAGGGGGAGAGAGTCCACTGAAGATGAACCATACCAAAAAGGTCTACGAAGCAATTATTGAAAAAAAGTTTTAAAAGACATGCAGCTAAAGTCCAAGGGATTAGCAGCAAGATATGCTGCGGAACAAAAACAACTCGGTATAAGATAGGTGCTGAAACTTCTTTCTTCAGTTCAAAAAAGAACAGCAAGTGGGATGTTGCAAAGCTTCTTCTCTTAGCTTTCACAAAGGGATAAGATATTGTTGGATCAATTGTTATTGGGAATGAAATTATTGTTCTTTATCATGATCCTCTCTCTATCAAAAGCAGAATCAATGGAATGGCATCACTCTGGTTCTCCAAGGCCCAGAATTGAAAGGTAATCTTAAAGATCATGACACAGAAAATGGAAAGTGTATTTTCTGTTTTCAGTTTGTTTTAAGCACTTATTCAGCAGAGCTTCAGCCAAAAGACATCAAGCACAATAGTACTGGCTTCCTGTGGTTCTTGAATAGCAACTCTAATTTATTTGAATATAATTAAAGTTTGTAAGTAAGAGTTTAACATTAACATACAAAAATCCAAAGCTATATTTTCATTCATGAATATAAATATCAGTATCTATAAGATAATATGTTAAAATAGGTCAAAAAGTACACTGGAATAATACATGACCAAAAACTTAATTACAAGTCTTATTTTACACTAGATGATTCTGAATGTGCAAGAAATAAAGGTTTTTACCATGAAATAGCAGATAAGCAAGCCAACGCTGTGAATTTCCAATAAAAATTTAGTTAAGCATCTACCTCTCTCAAAACAAACAAACATGTTATTATATCAGCAAATGTTGCATACACAAAAAAACATTAAGCTAACAAAATTTTTTCTCCCTTCAGTGAGGAATGCCCTAACACTACCAATCAAGAACATCACTTATCCATATCCAATAAGTTAAGTGATCATTGTAATTTCAATGCTTCACTGACAAGATTTAAACTTACAATCAATGCCTTCTGCAACTGTAAACTACAGAATAAGAGAGTATTAAACATCTTGTACAAATGTACAAAGCATTAACTACCTAAGAATCAGCTACTGTTGTAATTCTCTACAGAAAGTTTTGACTGGCCAAATCCAACATGGCTATTGGCACAAAAACCCCTACATACTGTATGGATAAAATTAGTAAATTATATAAAGGTCAAAATGTAACCACTGATGTTATCATTAGTAGTCCTGCTACAAAATCTACATCATTCTCTTAACTCACCATATTTATCAACAATGTTTTAAAGTACCAATCTGCCATATTATCAGGCTATAATAAGACTAATTTAATAATTATATTATTAAATTAGTTTAATTAATGCCAAACAATCTGCCATATAATAAATCAGGTTTGTGGTTTTATTGTTAATATATAATGTGTTAAAGTGATATATTTTTTTAGGTGTGGTACTTAAATAAAGCTCTTCTTAGGAGAAAGTTAAGTAATAAAAATATTTATTTAATTCTAAATAATAAATAATTTAAACTTCAGTTTTTTTGCCATACTCAATTATAATAGGCTGCCCACGTAATTTGTAACCATTAATCAATTCTAATGCACTTTGTGCTAGGGGAGGATCTGGATAAAAAGAAAAAGTATGATAAATAGTTCATCTATTAATTAACTAAAGCTTTTAAGATTAAACTTACCTGCAAAAGTAACAAATGCTTGACCTTTCATTCTTCCAGTCAAGAGGCGATAGGACGGAGGCTCCCCCTTATTGCTAGTAAATCTGTCAAAAAGTGAAACTAATTCTCGTATATCCGTTTTGGGATGCAAATTTTTAACATACAGAACCTAGAAATATAATGAGAATATTTCATTGATAAATTTATGTAATCACAATTAGAATTGAAAAATAGCAATAAAATTAATTTTTAACAAAGAGAATAAAAGCAATAGTAACAAATTAATGATTACACTGTAACAACAAAAATGGTGGTGGTGATTATTATTAATGACAAAAGTCATAATAAAATAAAAACTAAACAAATCAAATCTTTTTTACATTTATATAATTTACATCCATGCAAGATTGTCTAATACAGGGTGCCCAAATTATAGCCTTTGGCATATGTTAACATAGCTGGCACACATTTCACACATCATTTATAAATGATAGAAATATGTCTACCTTTTGTATGTATGGAATATTCAAAATATGGTACACACACCTATGGCTTATGTGCACTTTAGCCTGCCAATCAAAACATTTTGATACCACTGATTTAATACATCATAATTTTCAAACTCTTTTTCAGAATCATCCAAAAAAACACTTCAGATACAATTGCACTAAAAACATACATGACTTCAGATTTAGAAATGGTCATTTTATAAATGAATCAGTCAAAATGTCTAACGAAAGTATTAATAACGATGACATCATTCTCGTTTGACTTTACGAACCTACTCTTAATACAATATGAATTATTGGAAAAGATTGTAAAGGCTCTGAATGATTTGTTGGGATAAAATTTTATGTGATAGGAGACAAAGAGAATTTCTGTATAAATTTCAAAGTATACAGTTTTCAATGACATAAGTCCATTTTTGGCAATTTGTTGGCATGGTCAGAATTTTTTATTACAACAAAATTGCTATTTTATAATGCTATTTTTAATCTGTATAGTATATTTATACAGATTTACTAACCACCCACCAAAATTTTTTCTGCCTATCTCAAATTTTGTAATTTTGAAATATTCTACCTATTTCTCTTATACCAGTCAATGGCTTGTAAAAGTTGCTGAAGTAATTGTAAAACTGCTGTGTTTAGGCATTTTATTGCTACTTTAAGAAAATTAAGCATGTGTTACCATAAATCATGGTAACACATATACGAGTTTACGTATATATATGTATACATAAACTCTTTACTGGTTACTTAACAATTTTTTAAATGTTTTTACAACCCTACATGCAAAGTAATGTACAAAAATCTATCTAAAATATAAACTATCAATAATAGAGAAGAAGTCTGATTCATATCAACAAAGTTGTAGATGAACTTTCATGTACACATAGGTGATTTGACAATTGTTTAAAGTGAATAAAATGATCATGCTGACAATTTGCAAGAATGCATAAAAAAGTTACTTTTTTGACCATTGACCTATTTGACCATCAAACTATTTTGTTTGATGGTCAATTAGCTGAAGTGATTAAGAGATACACACCAGCCTACCATTCTGGGGACACGATCAAATTCCTAGGCAAACAATCCTAGGAAATTTTCATGGACATTCCATCCCAAATATTTTGTTCCTCATCACCTGACCATCCCAGTATGGACCTGGCTTAAACCACAAGTAGTATGGAATAAAGGTCCTCTAAATGTCCAAGGGCAGAAAGAGTGAACTGTTTTTGTAAAGATTGTAAATTGTAAAAAGTTTTTTGAATTTTTATATTAATAAATTACCTTGTTAATTTTTCCTGCATCATATTTTGAAAATTTAGGAAGTTGTTTTATCTCATCTATAGTTAATCTATTTTCTAAAATTGTATTAATATCTAACAATGCAGCAGCATGTAATATGGAAGGATCAGGCTTTTCATAAACAGTTACATTCTTCTGGTCTTCTTGTGAAATTGTCTCAAATTCATTTGTAGAATTCTCGTGATTTCTTTTCCGTTTTTTACACTTGACATATTTTTCAATCTTCTTTGATAATTCTAAAATATACTTGTATGGTCCTTCTAATGAATGTGATTCATTACTATTTATAAGACTTCTTAATTGCTCTTTGTTCTGACAACCAACATAGAGTGTCTTTTCAATATCCATCTCATGACGATTTAATTGCTTTACACCAGTAAATGTAGTAGGTTTATTCAACATTTCATGACGTTCTTGAATTTTTTTCATAATCTCATCAAGCCTTTCATTCTGAATATCGGGATTCAAATTACAGCTCTTCTTTAAACGCTAAAAGTAAATACAAAAATACAGCATATTTAAAATTATTTATAAAAATGACATAAATAAAAAATAATTCCACATATTTCATTATTTATGAGTATATATCTATCATTCACAGTGCCAACCAACTGGAAATGAAAAAATTATAAATCTGAAAAATGGAACATTACTTCTGAACATTTTAGGAACTGAATAATATTCTATCTATAATGATACTTGGCATAAAATAGATTGAAAACATTTTTTGTTTCAAAATAAACTGCTGCTTTAGATAACCAGAAAATTTATATTTCTTATAATTTACAATGATGCTAAGAATTACTCAATTTAAAGTTGAATTTTATATCTCATTACTAAGATAATTTTGAGTTAGTTCTCAAGTTAACAAGATGTATGTGTATATATATATGTGTATAGCAACTTTCATTTCAAAAAACATGTGCTATTTTATAAAGATATCAATAATATCTGGTAAAAAAAACAGCTTTGTCTCTGATATTAGATATTTAAAATCATCAAGGTATATCTATTTCAAATATACAGTATCTCCTAAAATGAATCTACCACTTTAAATTACTGTAATGTTAATTATTATCTGTGAAGTAAGCAATATACAGTGGAACCTTGCTTAAGCATAATTTGTTCCAGAATCTTACTCGTAATGTGAAACACTCGTTAAACAAGGTTCCACTGTACACTAATTGACAGAGTAGTGATTGACAGAGTAGTAATTGACAGAGACCTCTAGGAAGTGCTGTAACTGCCTATGTTTCATCTGCACTTGAATTCAAATGTCTTGTTACTTCTACCTCTAGGAAGTGCTGTAAACAAAATGACTACTCCACAACAGACAGTGTTTCTTGTTTTGTGAAATTGAAAACCTATCCTAGAAAGTTGGAATTACCCATCATTGTGCAATATGATTAATCTGCAAGAGCTTGTAGAATTGTGGCTGCTGTGAGAGAAGTGAGAACAGATATACTGTAGTAAGTGTAGGAAGAATTTGAGTATGAGTTGATGTGTGCAATGTAACACAAGGAGCATTCATTGAGAAACCGGAATGGGCAAATGTGTAACTTGGACAGTTTTCCAGCCTTTTAATGTATATTACAACATTCTCAGATAATAATTAACATAATTATGATAATTTAAAATGGTAGCATTCTTTTTGGAAGACCTTGTACTTAGCAAGATTATCATGCCTCTACATATTTAAACAATTTGTAAATTTATAAACAATAATAGTTTACATATGAATCCAGAAGCATTTTCTAAATTTATCTATTTATTTTAAATAGATTTTGTTAACAATTATTCATTATAAAGAGCACAAGAAGACTGATTCTTAAAGAATAATATTTTTTTAATTTATAAAAACAGTTTATTATTTACCTGTTTACCAGTACAATTCAAATAAAGATTTATTTCCTCTTTGGTAAGGCCACATTTCTGTAATTCTTGAACTCTATAATCTTTTTGTTCAAGGCTTTGAAAGTCATGTATACTAAGAACACCACTAACAGTTTCATTTATAGGAACATAGTTTCCAGATGGTGAAAAGTTTCTATGTTGTTGGAATTGCCTATTAATATTAAATAAAATATTTCAGAACATATACAAAATTAAAGTATATCAATTTAAATATGAACAAAATTATTATATTATTATTTATTTCTTAAAAATTTGAAAATATAAGATTAAACTACTGGTAATTACTTGACTGCAATTGAATGAAAAATTGCATTCAATTGCAATTATTTTAATAAACTGTTACAAATTTTTGGATTCATATATTTTATATATGGAATAGAACAACATTTAATTCATTTAATTCACACTTTCTTAATATTCTATTCCCATTTCCACAAAAACAGCAGCTATAGATACAACTTAAAATCAAATTACTACAAAATCAAATCAACTTAAATCAAATACTACAAATCTCTATGTAGCATTGCTGCTTATTCACATCTGAAGTATCCAAACAGTAAGAATTATACATAGTGGTGAAGGCTATCAACAAGTTTGAGTGTGCGAATTTGAATCACGTGATTTTATGATAACAATGTCAATTGCAACTGTACATTTAGTATTTCAAAGCCCCTGAAGAAATCTGTATTTAATATTTATGAGCAAGATCTGTTCATGAGTATTTATTTATTGGCAATTTATAAGAGAGAGTTATAAATAACTATAGTTTACCTCTGTTAAAAGCAACTTTTTCTCTAGTTTTGAAACTAATCATTTATCCAATACATGAATTATTAAGTAATGCACATTTATAAATTATTGGGTTGTTTGGAAAGTAAGTTCTTTTTTTTTACCACTAGACGGATTAGTGGTATTTTTCCCACCATTTTCGTTCTAAACCGTATTATCATTATATATTTTGACAGCTAGCATTTTATGGCTTATTCGTAAAAAATTTTGTTTGATTTCGGGCAATTGTTTATTTTTTGTGTCCCATCAAATATGGAAGATCGAAAGCAGCATCTTCGGCATATTTTGCTTTTTTATTACCAAAAAAATAAAAATGCCGTTCAAGCAAGAAAAAAATTGTGTGACATGTANAGCATGAGATGGCCTAACGCCTAACTCTAATACCAAATTATCTCAAATTATTATTATTATAGCCATTTCTAGTCCGTTAATTAAAGCAACCAAAGCCGAATTTGATTGGGCGCATATTATCCTCACTACCACCCACCTCGAACATCTCAAATGGTTGGAGGATATGGAAATATTTAGAGCAGGACACAACACAACAGGCATCAATTTTAAAGAAGAGCCCTTTCAACAGCATGGCAGATCCTGCTAGATGATAACATTTAAAAAGTTTACGTCAAAAGTACTGCAGTGCGCATGTGCTGTACACAAAACATTGCTCTTTTCTTTTTCTTTTTAAATTGGCTCGAAGGTTGCCGCGTGCGATGATTCGAAAGATAAATGGCTCAAAAGAAAGTATTTGATTTTTCAACATCCAGCTCAGTATTTACAGAAAAAGCCCAGAAGGGGCATCGAAAACATTCACTGAAGTATTACACAACACTCTGGTTACAAGAGTTATTTTAGGATAATCTCCGAAACTACTCATCTGATTTCAAAAATTCTTTTACCAATATTTAGAATGGACCTTCAGGGTGGACATAGGCTGTATATTATTCTGTTAAACATTCACATAAATTAAAAGATATCATCTAGGTAAGCGTTATATTTTTGGTGTCAGCAGGTGGCGAGGGCAAGACGCGTACATATATGAGATAGGCAACTGCGCGGCACAGTCGTGTGGTCTGCGAAATACGCAGTGCATGTGTCCGAACTTGTATATTATATAGATGTCGAAATTCCCCTCATGGGGGAGAGGGACAAAATTAAGACTTACCGCAAAGAACTCTGCTTCTATTATGTAATATTTTCTTGTAGTGATTACATATTTTATTTTAAATATTTTAAAAAATTGAAATACTGGAAATACTTCATGTGTGCAGTTAATTAGTTCCATAAATATACTGTGTATATTTATGAAACTAATATCACACTTATTGAAACAGTCAATGGAAAATAAATTACTGTATGTATGAATTAGGTCATTAAGAATTTGTTTGAAATCTTAATTCTTACATTTATATTCACTTGGGCCAAATAAAAAATGTAAGAAATAAACAAACAGTTATTGAAAAATTAATTAATTAATTAATTAAAGTTTTTAGACAAAGTACAGTGTAATTATATACAAAAATGAAAACAAAATAATTGATTAGTACTCAGTCTAAACTGAACACTAATCAATTAAAAAAAAAATCAAGCAAAATATTTATCAGATCTCATCTGCATTGTTGCTGCTGCCTATTTTCCACAAAGTTTTTTTGTAGAAGCTAAAGAATTAAAAACAGAAATATTTGCAAATATTACACTAAATAGAAACATAGAAATTAAAGTATCCAAATAAGAGCACCTCACTAGCAGAACTAAGTCTCACTTTTCCTACTAACAGTGAGCAGGATTGGTATAAAGAGTTTAGCATTGCTATCTCTGAGCCCTCATGCTGACAATATTGAACTTCCCTTAGAACAGACCCACATTAACTGAAACTGAACTAACTGAAATAGTATATACAGAAGAATCTTGTTTTAATGAATCATTTGGGCCACCAAAAATTATTCATTGTTTCAAGAATTCAATATATCGCAAACAACAGATTTCATGCACACTCAGAAAAATATCTGTTTAATCCTACACATAAGAAATGCCAATACTTGCAAGTATTCAGTCCCTTGCAATCTCGATTCTTTATTCTATTGAAATATGTATGTTACAAGATTGTGTTATATATTAAGCCATATGTGTGTAGAACAAAGCTGATGGAAACCATATATACTGTACTGTAAACACAAAAGGAAGCAAATTATGTATGCTCATTAGCACTTTACTCGACTTTACAACTTGTGAATAAAAAAACTTGTCCATCTTGGTTTGTTTTGATGCCGCTTTTCTATCCATTGATTACAACAATTTCTAAATATTACAAAGGTCATATACAGCCTGTTTGTTTATGCTCAAACTCATCACAAAGGTCTTCATAACTAGGAAAGACTCAAAGACCTCGCTAAGTTTTGGCACTAAACATGGACAAGGAACAGAGTGTTCACTAGGTGATTCCTCAATTGTATCAGCCAGCTTACTCTCTTTGTACAATTCTTCAATTGTACATATCCCAAATGTAACAAATGCATCATCAAACTCTACAAATTTCCAGAAAAACCCAAATATTAACTAATTGTTGAAAAAAAAAAATGTTATCTGAGTAATGGATCCGCTAAAACAAGATTTTACTGTATTGAGAATCACCCATATTTAAATAAATATTTATTTATTTTTTCTCATTTCATTATTTAACATTCATCATCATCAGTTATTTTCATTATGTCATTTATATTAATTTCCTTGTTAATTTATTGTATAAATGTAAACAGTTATTTCTTTTATTATTTGAAATTATTTTAAATACTTAAATAAATATTTATTTAATTTATAATAATTTATTTCCCAGTAATAAAAGAAATTCATTTTTGATTAATAAAAATTCAGATACAAACATTATATTAGTATATATAAACAAACATCAGCTAACCCGATAAACATTAAAGCAACCAAAGCCGAATTAACGGGCTATAATGGCTATAATAATGGCCATTATAGCCCATTATGGCTATAATAGGGCCATTATAGCCCTATAGAAATGGCTATAATAATAATAATAATAATAATAATAATTTGAGATAATTTGGTATTAGAGTTAGGCATTACATGCCATCTCATGCTAAACTTGTTAATTATAATTTTAATTAAATAATTTAAATAAATTTAGAACTAACTAGAAGAAAAGAATCGGCCCGGAGCTTGACGCGAACCAACCGGTGTCCCCAGCCTGTATTGTCAAGGCTGTGGATGGTAGTAATGTAAGCTTATATATATTGGAAGAGGAGATCGGACCGGAGGTCCAGGTAGTGTAATTGGCAACACATCTGCACAGTAAGCAGGAGTTGCAGGTTCGAGTCCCACTCCGGGCTGATTCTTTTCTTCCAGTCAGTTCTAAATTTATTTAAATTATTTAATTAAAATTATTAAATTTAGCATGAGATGGCCTAACGCCTAACTCTAATACCAAATTATCTCAAATTATTATTATTATAGCCATTTCTAGTCCGTTAATTAAAGCAACCAAAGCCGAATTTGATTGGGCGCATATTATCCTCACTACCACCCACCTCGAACATCTCAAATGGTTGGAGGATATGGAAATATTTAGAGCAGGACACAACACAACAGGCATCAATTTTAAAGAAGAGCCCTTTCAACAGCATGGCAGATCCTGCTAGATGATAACATTTAAAAAGTTTACGTCAAAAGTACTGCAGTGCGCATGTGCTGTACACAAAACATTGCTCTTTTCTTTTTCTTTTTAAATTGGCTCGAAGGTTGCCGCGTGCGATGATTCGAAAGATAAATGGCTCAAAAGAAAGTATTTGATTTTTCAACATCCAGCTCAGTATTTACAGAAAAAGCCCAGAAGGGGCATCGAAAACATTCACTGAAGTATTACACAACACTCTGGTTACAAGAGTTATTTTAGGATAATCTCCGAAACTACTCATCTGATTTCAAAAATTCTTTTACCAATATTTAGAATGGACCTTCAGGGTGGACATAGGCTGTATATTATTCTGTTAAACATTCACATAAATTAAAAGATATCATCTAGGTAAGCGTTATATTTTTGGTGTCAGCAGGTGGCGAGGGCAAGACGCGTACATATATGAGATAGGCAACTGCGCGGCACAGTCGTGTGGTCTGCGAAATACGCAGTGCATGTGTCCGAACTTGTATATTATATAGATGTCGAAATTCCCCTCATGGGGGAGAGGGACAAAATTAAGACTTACCGCAAAGAACTCTGCTTCTATTATACTATTTTAGATGAGGTTTTTTTGTGTTTTTGATTGTGTTTTATAGGGTATATCAAGAGAATGTACACTAAGAAGGGATTTTTCAAAATTCCCTCCCGCGGGGAGTGTTATACATTTATAATAGATACATTTTGAGCCACAGCAATTTGTGGCCGGGTACAGCTAGTTACTACATATTTTTATACTTTTATTTTCAGAAATGCTCATGTTTAAATATTAAATTTAAATATTCTTGTTTTAAAATTATGCATGAAACATTATATATTTATTAACAGTGTTTATTTTGTTATATTTCACATTCAATACTGAAGATGGCCTCTAGTAAAGCTAAAAAACATTCCAAAGTAAATATTCTGCTTTTCTATGCAAATAGTTTTGTTATTTAATTTCAAATTTATCTAATCAAAATAAGTTGCTAAAATAATAATTTGACAATTAACAAGTTAATAATTTTATTTTATATTAATTAAAAATAGAAATAGACTTAACTGTTTAAGTGTGACATTTGTATTTAATTGTTTCTGCAGCAAACTTTTTAACTGCTTCTCAGCTTCAGTTTCTGTTCCCAATTCTTTACATTCGTTTTTACTTAAGACTTCACCTGGGCTTATTTTATCCATTATTCACTGAAATAAAAATAAATAAATAAATAATCTTATTTCTTATATTAGATAATATTTGACATTTTAAATTATTAGAAATATAATTTTTGAGTTTGCTTGTAGAAACTTTTACCATTGTAAAATTGTGAAATTTTCTACAAGAAAATTATTTCAGAATCAATATAAATAACACTGTAACGATCACTCTGTTTGGATGTTTATCGCAGGAAAATGCCTAAACATATTTTAACCAAGCTTTATATTCTGAATCTGATTTAGGAGAAGGTTTTCACATACATGTGATCTCAAAATCTATATTATATAAACTACACTGTAATGGATTTCTGTCTATCTGTCTCTCTGTTTGCTAGACAGCAACACACATGAATCAGTAGTTGCCCTTCAAGCGATTATCTGTAAGAAAGTTGTAATATTGAAGAATAGTACAGTAGAGTCCCAAAAACTTGGCACTCGATAACCCAGAAGTATAGATAACTTGGCAACACCCTGGCAGGCAAAAAAACCCCTAGTTAATTTTCATTATAGACAGCTTTATGCCTCTTAAAGTATTTTTCTGAGGTCTGTCTTATCAGGTAAATTATTGTACACTGTGTATTCATTCATTTTCATTTTCATGTAGTAAAGGCTCTATGCCTTCATAAAGTACTGTACATACTTTTCCTTTGTTTAAGGGTATTTGGGCAATTTATTCTCTGTTGTATTTTCAAGCAAACAATACATACAAGTATAGTACAGTATTTTCTGAGGAAACACTCATACTTATTCTTTTTTAACCCCATTCCTGATAACCCAGCATTTTCACAAACTCGGCCACTCTTTGGTCCACATTAGGCCGAGTTTTCGGGACACTACTATATTATGTTTGGAGAACTAATGCTAAAAAGTAATTAGTGAGAAATTAGAAAAACATGCATAGTGGCTTTTTCAAAACATTTCATGTTGTGTTCATGATAGTTATCCCAAACTATATTGGTGTAATTTTTCTATGGTGGTCTCCACCTCCAACCACTCCAAAAGCGCATCTCCTCTTAACTTAAGCCCGAGCAAATATTGTGTGTCCTGCAGTTTCATTATAATAAATATTCAGGTCAATAAATGTACATTTTAGTTACTAATATCATTGTTTTAATCACTCTCTCCCAATCCAATCTGAACAATCCTCCATTCCCTCAAATGGCACATGCAGCTACTTAAAAATAATTTAAGAAACTGATAACGTTCTTTATGTTAATTTATATTGAAATGGATACACTTAAAGGTTTTTATTTCAATAACCTATATATAAAAAATAAATATTTATTATACATTTCAAATATTTGTTTGCAAAAGAGGTAATAGAGACTAAATCTTTTGCAGCTAAAATTTTAACTATTATTAACAGTTTAAATCATAAAAGTATTTGAAATTTTGTTAATGGAACAGACTATTTTTAAATAATATTCTAGTAAAAAAGTGTTTAATTTAGGGTAATTTTATAATATATCAGTGCAAAAGAATAAAACAAAATATTTGGCTATTGCTTTTATGTATTTTGGAAATAATGTACCAAATCTGTTTGTCCCAAGGCATCTGTTGGAGTGGAAAGGTAATATTTGAAAATGTCAGTAGGTAATTATCAAGATGAATTATAGAGACAAGGTTCTTTGGTAGATTCAGTTTAGAATAAAACAAATGACTGAACACAAACTTATTACAGGTTGGTTTAAACTTCATTGTAGAGACACATTGGGGTCTTTGCAATGACGTTTGAATTGACTTTTGAATCTGATTCTAAACTAATTTTGAAAAAACTTTGGCTATTACATTTACTGCCATTACTCCCAGCTTTTAGATGTTAGTGAACCAATTGGGCAAATCATCTTGTTGCATCACAAATACTATGAAGAATGTAAATGTGGGCAAGTCCAAACTTCATCAAAGAAGAAAAGTTTTTTGCTGAATTAATTTTTTAATATCTGACTATTAAAGAAGAAAGATGATTAAATACAATTCATAAATTAGAAACAGATTATATTCCATCAATTATAAAATTTCCAAATCAGAAACAATAGATTATTTATTGCCTTAATTCTATTTTTATTCATATTTTGCAAATGCTTGCTCTAAATTATAAAAATCATGATTTAAATCAGTATTCCTCTGTTGATATTTTATAAATATAGGGCCTCTTATTTTTCTTTATACTCATAGTTTGGTCTCTTTCTTTTGCTAATATATTTATTATTCAATTAGTTAACCATCTTTACTGAATTGGCATTGATAAAAAGCAACATAAAGCTCTTTCACATTTGTCTCAGAGATAATTTATAAGTAATAAAAGTAAAAAACAGTGAATTAATGTTACTCTTAAAAAATAATTGCTTTAAAGATTTTTCGCAAGAAAAATAAACTTAAGAATCTAACTTTGAGTTATTTTAATTCCATTTTTAACTGTAAAACAATTGATAACAGTTGTTCCACAGATAATATCAACCTTTTTCTCTCAATTTTGTATCTAATTCAATTCAAAATATAATGAATACAGATTTAGAAAATATTATTAAATTCAAAAATCCTGATCAGAATATAATTCTAACATACTATTTCTCTCATATTATTCTTTCATCTTGTAGTTATCAAGACAAATATTGTCTTTCAATCACATTAATAACATCTAAAACACAAATGATAACAATTCTTAATTAAATTTTTTGACAATGACAAGATATTCTTGATATATTCATATACAGCAATTTGCATTCCTAAAATGAGATCAAAGAGAAAGCCAGAGCCTAAAGCTGTCACTGGATTGGTTTAAAAACCAGCTTCTAATTGGTTACATTCCAGTATGCATCAGTTTCAGCAACAACCAATTCATTGGTGAATGGTTTAAACATGGACAGTACAGTGGCCCTTTTCGTACTGCAAAACAAGAAAAACAATTCATTACTCGCCACTGAAACTATCAAAATTGCACAAGACCTCAGAAAAACTATAAAGTAGTATTCCAATGGATTCCAGGGCATTAAGGCCACTTGATAATGAGATGGCAGATCAGCTAGCAAAGGTGGCAGCTTCAGCAAATACTCCAATTACTTACAAAAGAATCCCCCCCTACAGGAAATAAAAAAGAAATCAAACAAATTCTCATTGACGCATGGCAAAATGAATGGAACAAGTCAGAGACAGGATGCTAAACCTTCTCTTTTATACCCAATATAATAACAAGGTAAAGAAACAAGTTCTTCAATCCCTCATTTGAACTGACTCAAACTTTAGCAGGTCATGAAAACTTCAGATCCTACTTCTATAGATTCAAAAAGAAGAACAATAGTATCTATGAAATCAATAATTGTGAGATAATGCTCATAACTTTTTATTTGAATGCTCCAGGTTCAGTGACAGCCACGAGACTCTTTAGGGACTGCCTTACCTACAGCAACAAATGGCTTCCTGAAGAAAAGGATTTAATAAACAAGAAGGGATTGCATAGAAGCTTTACGAACTTTATAACTAGAACTATACAACTGACAGTCAACCAAACATTCAGCAACTTACCTATAAATGATGATAACAGTGAATCACTTATAACAGCAACAACAGAAGAGGACCAGAATTCAGGAGAGGACAACCAGCCAACAGGTAGAGAAGACTTCAGTAGTGACGAAGAACATTCTTAGTGTATTAAACTCTCTACAAACTTTTTTAATTAATGTGTTAGTTTAGAACATTTATAGAAACAATTTATCACCTATAATGGCAATAACAGAAGAAAGCCAGAACTTAGGAGGATGGGTAAAGAAGACTTCAGTAGTTCCAAAGAACATTCTTAGTGTCTAGAAATCCTCTACCAAATTTTTTAAATAAAGTGTTGCTTTTTAATGCTTTTTTCAAGACTTTTTTCATAAGGCAAAGACAGCCAGCCACATTCACTTTATTCTATTTTTTGCTTCTTTGATTGTGCTTGTTTTTTTTTTTTAACTTCATAATCAGAATCAAAAACCGACAGTGCACCTAAGCTAAAAACAGACAGTACACCTATCTTCAGAGGTTGAAACAATGTATCAACTATAACAGCAACACCAGAAGAGGACCAGAACTCAGAAGGACAACCAACCAACAAGTAAAGAAAACTACAGCAGTAATGCAGAATACTTTTAGTGTCTCAAAATCCTCTACCAAGTTTAATAATTTATGTGTTTGTTTTTAACAATTGTTTATTAGACTTCTATTGTAAGGCAAAACCAGCCAGTTATACTATGTATTTTAATTTTGTTTCTTTGTTCTTGCAATTGTTATTTGAAAATTTATGCATTGCGGGCACCCATGTGTCCTCCTCCCATTTCCTTTGTTCCACCCTTACTTTCCTATCCTCCTTTCTTCACCATTTCATTCTACACTCTTCCCCCTTCCTTACTTAGGGCTAAGTCAGATGTTAAACGACAGACAGCCTTCTAATTCCTTTATTAAAAGTAAAGTTGCCCACAACACCATAACCATAATGGACAATTGGCATTAACAAACCATCAATTACCTTACTGGTCCATAATATATAGTCAACAATACACGAATTAATACTTTCTTTGTAAGTTCTATTGGCAGAAGTTTACCTAGGTAGTCCATCTTGTTTGTGGGTGTATGTTCACAAACAAGATGGTGACCATTGAATGCTACAAATACACGCTTATTCATAACACAATTATTTAACTTAAATGTAATAAAAACATAAAAATTCAACTCACATTTACCATACTTTTATTTCCCTTCTTTTTTTTGGGCACAGAACACGATTCATCTATTTGTTTAGAAACTTCATCCTTTCTCTTAAATGACAATTTAACAATATTTCTAACATACATTTCCAGTTTCTTATTTTTAAGTTTTTCTTTCTTCTTTGTATTTATTTCGGGGGCAGAAAGCAAACTTTCTGGCTCTTTCTAAATTGGTTGTCCAGCACCAGGATATATCCTACTCAAATGCTTAGCAAATAATTCAAAATGTTCTTCAGATTTTAAACGTTTCCATCTAAACATTATCTTATACATAAAATAAGTAAGAATCTGATAGATCTTCAACAAACATACTATTTTCTGCATATGGGTTAACCAGTTACACGGTCAATGAAATTTTCAGCACATTTCACGGATTTGTGTAATGTCAATGCCTTCTAAGTCACCAATACGATTGTACCCTTTCCACTTGTCAGTGTATATGGTACTTCCTGAATTTACATATTTTAAAATTACCCAGTTAAGACTTTGTTCAGATCTATCATTCACTTTGCATACAAAACACATGTTATCTTGATGACAAATACCGCCAACAACCCACATTCCCTTTAAAATACTTCCTTTTTCTTTTGCTTATCATAGTTTCGTCTATTTCAATTATTTTCTCCGGGCTCCCAATTTTCAATTCTGACGAATTACTTACAGAAATCACCATAACAAGGCACATATATTTAGCCCAATCTACGACAGTGTATTTACTAATGCCCACGACCAAACTAGTAGTACTCAACGAATACTTAATAGATAACAAATGCCATATAAAAGAAAAAATATACCCCCACAAAATTTTTCCAAATTTTCCTTTGAATGTGCCATCACAAGGCAAACTATTCATTTTACATCGGTAACATCTAAATGATAAAGAATTACGAACTTTTCTATAAATTAATTTGCAGCAAAATGAGCAATTACTACAAATGCCATCTACGGGTTGCAAACTGAGGTGAATAGCAAACTTAATATCTGAAGATATACTCTTGTCAACGTCTAATTCTGAAAAGTCATTTTCCAACATATGAAAAAAGTCTCTTGAAGTGCACTTTTCCAAAATGCTTCAGAAACATTTACAACCTCCGATATTATATTGTTATAGGAAAAAATAACAAATATAATATTAGATAAAATCTAAAATTCTTCAAAAAAGACAAATTTTCGAATTTATTTAAAACTATTGTAATATATAACAACCAATTACCCACATAGCATTTAATCACGTTTATATCAATATATTAGTATGATCAGCGCTACCTAGATTTGATTTTAATTCATGTCTGTTGTCGAGATTCCGGAAGTGCCATCATTGGGACTACCTAGGTAAACTTATACCTGTCAATTTAAGTTTCCTCAATGTCAGGAGGGGGAAAAAACGAAACATTTACGCTAAAAATTCAGATAGAGTATTTAATAAATAAATATCACGAGAATTATACGTAAAGTATACACGAATTGCTATAAATTAGGATAATCGATTTACCTTATAAACTTCCTACCAGAAAGTTCGTCACATACAGTGCCCTCTGAGGGAGAAAAAAGACAATCCTATATAAGATAATTTTATTCGTAAAATACAGTCTGAAATTTTTACTTTTAATTCTTTACTCCTTCCGCATAATAAACGAAAAGCATTTTTAAAATCTTAAAACGGGAATATACGGCATAAAACGATTCACAGAATTTCTATCGTTATCTCTCTGCACTGCAGCATCAGAAAAGCGTTGGGGAGAGATTCGAATGTTTGACGCTAGAGGTCGTGTTTACGGCCAAAATTCCCGCGATTTTGCAAGCATGTACGAATAGTCTGAAAATTTGTAATGAATTAATTTAAATGGAGGATGGTATATTGCTGCGTGCCTTTTTGCACGTCACGATCCGGGAAAACTAACGTAAACAAGGTGTCGTTTCATTGGTTTCCTAACAATTTCGAAACAAAAAGAAAGTGGATAGTTGCTATTTCGAGGATTGGTAAGTAAATTAGGTCATATTTGACTAATATTTTGTCTATGACTGAAATTTATAGTTTGAAATGTTAGCTGGGGTCAATTCAAGGGTATAGTCGCGGGCATACGTAGTCACGTATGCTCGCGAGTTACCAGCGACGCGATCTCGCACGGCCCGGTATTGGGGAGGCTATATTTCGTGAAGGGTCGCCCGTAGGGGTGTGGTTCATTAGGCATTTATTGATTGCAAAGGGGGGATCTACTGGTAGGGGGCTCCCCCCTCGACAAGTGACCTGGATTTGTACTGAGCAAGTAAAACTTGCAACAACGATAAACAGGATGTTTCAAGGATCACTTCCTATTATACTTCTCACAAATACTACCAGAAGGCAAAAGACCAATTTTCATAGCAAATTTTGCATCTGAAGAAATCCTCTCACTAAGTTTATTCCTTTTATTCACTATACAACAGCATTACAAGGTCTACAGTCTATAAGTTAGATATCCATAACTGTAATTTACTTTGAAAAATCACAAATAAAAACTTCAATCTCATACATACAAACTCTACAGAAAAATTAATTAAAACTTAATCAAATTATACTGCCATGCATGTGTAATAACCAACTCTGTATAATCAAGCATATCTATATCCAAATTTAAAACAACTCATAACTTTCATGAACAAGATCTTGCACAAGGAGCAGAAGTATGACATAAGTGAGGTTGCGGCTGAAGTTTTCATCTTTAAAACATGAACGTCGAGTGCCACTATCTTGTAAGCGGCACTCGACGTTCACTAAGTTGTTCACTAGACTAAGTTGTAGGTTTGTAAAATTCCACTGTTTCTGCTAAATTGAATTCTGCTGTTGTGTCTATGATGTTGGTGCAGTAAGTAAATGTCCTTATCAAGAATCTGAAAGAAGAGAGCTTTATGTATTGGGGCCTGTGGAGTTGTACAGAATCAAAAAACTGTTTGAAAATAGTACAATTACACCTCTGAGATTGATATTTATTGCTCCTATGGTTATGGTCTACACCTCTGAGAGGTGTAGACCATAACCATAGGAGCAATAAAGTCAAAAGGAACTGTATCACTACATGTGACCTTTCACAAGATACAACCCCAAAATTAGTCTACTTCCAGGTCACAATGTGATTAGGAGTCGCATTGCTCTGCCAAAACTATAGAGTTTAACTATTTAGCCCACACGACTATGCTGACTTTGAGTCCTCTTATGCTGACTATGCTGACTTTGAGCTGACTTATGCTGCCCTCTTGACTGTTTTTGAAGTACATGATGTTATATAGTTTTCGGGAGTATGGGGGATAAGCCCCACATGGACACTGAGGTGCAAGTGACATTGCTACATGCTACATGCAGAATGTGAAGAATAGGCAGTAGTACTAGTAATGGTAAAAACTGACCCTTGAAGGTGAATATCTTCTGAAGGGTCACATATATGGATATAGTTCTATTGCCTTTTTTGCTCATATAGGTCTACAAGACTGGGATGGGAAATCCCTCATTTAGAGTTTACATTTTACTGATATTTTCATCTTATGGTGGAAAAACCAAATCTGCAATAGTTTCCATAAGCAATCAATGATCATCTTTATGCTTTTCTCCTACAATTATATCAAAGAAAGTGAAGCATCTGTGCATTTGTTAGATCTTCCATCTTGGTAATTATTTTGCCAAACCTGCACAAGTTATACAGGAAATTACTTTTTAACACTTATTGTTTCAAATGATATTAATCTACATTTTCAATGAATATAGAATGCCTCTGAAGTAATACTAAATTGCTGTGACAACACAAAATCTGCAATTGTTTGAAAACCATTTTCAAAACACATTTAACAAAATTTATGTATAAAATTACAGATTTTGATATATTTTTTTTATTTTAAATTTAATATTTTATTTTATGCACAATATTTGCATATAGAGTAGAATCCTTTATTTAAATTTGAAATAAAAATATGTATTATGAAGAATTCTATAATTTTTATTAATGTTTCAGTTTATTGATTAATTATATATTGTTAATAAATATTATTTATTTTAAGGAGAAGATGGAAGTTTGTGGACACCACGTGGTACTTCAGCAATATGTGGTTTACACTTTAAATCCGATGATTTTGATCCTTTAAGTATAAAGAAACAACTAAAACCTGAAGCAGTTCCAACCATTTTCCCTCGCCATCCTAAGCTCAAGAAAAGACTACAAAACAATAGAACAAAAAGAAAATGTAGAGTTAAGATATCAGAAAATAAAAAGAAAAAAGCTTAAGATTATTGAAAATTCTACGGAGTAAATTCTTTAAACCACAAGAAAAATGTCCTTAATATAAAACCATATAAAAAAAGCTGCAATGTGGATAAAAATCTAAACTATAAATCCTATAACAATTGAAAAGAATACTTTTGTGACAGTGCTATCAAAGATATGGAACAGAACATCTAAAGCAGAAGATAGAGAAAAACAACAAATTGAATTAATAAATACATTTATATTAAACAATTACCTCAGTGGATTATTAAAAAAATGGATAATGGAATTTATAAAAACATATTTAATGTTAAAATAAAAAAGTTGATAATATATATATGTCATTCCCTTATATTAAAGATACATACGAAAAATATAGAAATGTTTTCAAAAAATATAGTGTACTAGCAGCCAAACTAAAAAATTAAATCAAAAATAATATCAATAAAATTAAAAATAAAGAAAAACTAGATGAAGTAATAGTTGTATATGAGCTAAAATGTACGTGCAATAAACCAGCAATTTACATAGGTAAACAGGAACTCAAGACTACAGTAAGAGAACATGAAACAGCAATTTGGCTAAAAACTAACCAATCACTATGGACAGATCATTGTAGCAAATATGGATATGTGATTAATAATAATAATATAAAAATAATCCACAAAGAAAAAGATAAATATTTACAATCGCGAAATGTTCCTTGAACCTTCGTAAGTGCACACAACGTCATTAACTTAAGTAATGGGATGGAGATAGATGACGTGGGCGGAAGTGTAAGTACAAAATACGAGGGTCATTCAATAAGTTCTTAGAAAATCCAATAGATGGCGCTCGTAGCCTCAAAAATGGCACGATTTTGTAAGCATCATGTCTCACTAGACAGTTGTGAAAGTCTCAGTCATATCCATCACATGGTTTAATTTTTATTGTCGATTGAAGCAAGAAACTTTTGTTTATTTGGAAAATGGAAAAAAGCGAGTTTCGAGCAGTGATTAAACGCTTACATTTAAAAGGTTTAACACTGAAAGAGATCAAAGCTGAGTTGGATGAAGTTCATGGCTGTTCATGGCAGGAAGCACATCTGCTCCTGTGTTTGCAACTGTTTACAATTGGGTAAATGAGTTCAAATGTGGTCGTACATCCACAAAAGATGAACATCGTTCGGGACGTCCAATGGAAGTGACTACTCCCGAAATGATTGACAAAATCCACAATATGGTTTTGAGTGATCGACGAATCAAAGTGCGTGAAATAGTTGAGGCCACAGGCATATCGCAAGGTACAGTGTTTTCAATTTTACACGAAAAATTGGGTGTGAAAAAAATCTCGGCAAGATGGGTGCCGCATTTGCTCTCAGTGGAGAATAAATGTAATCGTGTGGTCAACTCTGAGGCTATTTTGGCACTTTTTTGTCACAATCCTGATGAGTTTCTGCATCGATACATAACTGTGGATGAAACGTGGATACCCTATTATACTCCAGAGACCAAAGAATAGTCAAAACAGTGGGTTTTTGAAGGCGAAAGGGCTCCAAAGAAAGCGAAGACAGTGAAATCGGCCGGTAAGGTGATGGCCATGGTTTTTTGGGATATACGCGGAATCATCTACACCGATTACTTGGAAAAAGGAAAAACAATAGCTGGAGAGTATTATGCATCGTTATTGCACCGGACGAATTATTGAATGAAGAAATCAAGGAAAAATGTCCTCATTTGAAAAAGAAAAAGATCCTCTTCCATCAAGACAATGCACGGGTGCACACCTGTGCAGTTTCGATGGCCAAAATCACGGAATTAAAGTTTGAATTATTACCACATCCACCATATTCACCAGATTTGGTTTCCAGTGACTTTTTTTATTTCCAAACTTAAAAAAATGGCTTGGCAGACAACAATTCACGTCAAACGAAATGGTCATCGCCCAAACAGATGCCTATTTTGAGGACCTTCTGAAATCTTACTTTTTAGATGGCTTAAAAAAGTTGGAGAAATGCTTGGAAAAGTGTATAGAGCTTAAAGGAGATTATGTTGAAAAATAAAAAAAAATCTACCTACAATAATTTGTTTTTCTATCTTTTTCTAAGGACTTATTAAATGACCCTCGTAGCATGTAAACAGACAAAAGGCTGTTAGAACGATGCCTCGAGGGTAGGACATTGATACAGTGGAGCAATATATGTTTTAGCAAAAAAGGTTAGTTCGTTATAATATAAATCATTTGAATGCTGTAATTTGTAATAATTTTGTAACAACTGTATGTTTCCCTATTGTAGTTATGTATTACCTGAAGATAGGTGCATGTGTAACAAATTTTGTACCTGAAATGCATTGTATTGTAATAAAAGCCAATGGTTGTAATCCTTAGTAGTTTTGTCTCTGATAAAATGCGGTTATAGCTGAAAAACGACGGTTGTCTTCTGTATTAACCTTTAAAGTTTTTTAATTTTTTAAGAAGTTTTTTCAAAAATATATATAAAAAACTGTATACCTCGTATAATGTACTTAATCCGTTCCAGGTGCATGTCCGTTAAGTGAAAAGTCCGTTATACGAAATGCATTTTCCCATAGAAATACATGTTAAAACATATAATTTGTTCCGCAGCATAAAATAACCGTACTGTACCATAAAAAAAATGAAAACGGAGCAGTCACCAATTATGCCAGGTAGTCGTTGTGAGGAGGAGGTGGAGGAACACTTTATTCACACATTCATACAGATAGACTTTTTACACATTGCAGCAGGTCTCTTTTAATCGGAGTCAGATTCAGGAGAGGCTACTGGGGCTTGCAGGGTCAACTCCTTGTTCCATCCTTTCTTTTGGCAGCTGGCTTCTTGAAAAACATGTCCAAGGTGGTCTGTTTCTCTCTCTTCCTCAACACCTGTTGGAAATGATGGGCAAGGGTGTCATTGTAGAAATCATTGATCCTGTTGGCCTCAACTGTGTTTGGATAATGAGTGTTGGTAAACTCCTAAACCTCTCCCCATTTGACAAGGAAGTTTTTGTCAACTTTCACTCCTCCTGATGATTTCTTGCTTTGTTTTCATTGAAATCACCTTTCTGTTTTTCTAGAAGCCATGATTTGCACAACACTTAAATAAATGTAAATATTGCACTGAAGTGATATACTGTAGTAATAAACAAGGGACAAGCTGAATCCCAACAGGAGCTCTGTACTTCAGATATACTAATAATATATTCTAATATATTAAAAAATAGCAGATTGTCATAGGCAACAGCAAAAGAGTGGAAACATCGTTCGTACTTGTTCACAGAGAGTCTGTTGTTCGTAGCCAGTCTGTTGCTCAAGTCATGTAATGGCCAAACAGAAAGTCCATTGTTCATAGCATCCGTTATTCGAGGCATGAGGCATAAGTTATACGAGGCACCATTGTATATATATTTCTGTTACTTATACAAGTTAAATTCTTTATCAATTACAGTTCTTAGCAAATGTCACATCATGCCAGTTATATGTTGTATTACACAAAAACTCCAAGTACTCAAATACATAATGTTATAGAAGAAATTAATCATTTTAAGAGAGTAATAGGTTAAGAGAGTAATAGGAAACTTAATAATATATGTAGTGAAACAAATATAAAAAAAAATCATGTCCTTTTGTCAAACTGGTGACATTCATGCAGAATTCCTCATAAGTTAGATCAATTGAAATACTTTAAAAAACCAAAATATGGATGGTTGAGTCTGTCTTATGTCATTGTATTACTTGGCAATCCAGAGTTCCAATAGGCTATAACCAAATAATAAAATCAAATATATTAAATTTTCCAGATCTGATTACTTTGAAAAGATATATGGGATATAGTTCAGGAGAAGTACGTCTTACATTATTAATGAAAAAATATTTGGCAAAAGAAGCAGCTGAGTTAAATCAACAGTAATGTTAGTAATGGATGAAATAGCTATTAAAGCTTCATTGACATATCAGAAACATCATGCTTGTTTCCTGAGTAATATTGACATGGATGAGATTGGACATCTTCAACTTGCTGTGTGCTCTGCTATTTAATAACTAGATTTAATACAAAATTGAGAATTTCAATAGCATACTTCTTTACAAATTTGAAAAGGTGAATGTACTGCAAGTAGTTCAAATAATATCTCCTGATGTCACTTCTATTAGGGAAGTTATACAAATACATGGGAAAGAAGAAAATATACACAAAATTAACTAATTATCTCAATTAACCAATTGATAGAGATATATGAGGCTTATCAAACTGTAATGGAGCCAAGTAATTGAGATCACATTGATTACTTGGGTTTATTAGTTTAATAAGCCTTGTATATTTCTACCAATCAGTTATTTAAGGTAACTATTTAATTTATTAGAGGCAAGAAGCTTACAAGTATAATATATACAGAAATTTGAAGATTTAATGCAACAAACAAATTCATGAAAATAATGTATAAATGGCAGACATTACATAACATTTCTAACTCAAAATTCTATGTAAATTGTGACATAATGCCATTTTTTTGATGTAAACAATGATCAAACAGTGGAAATTTTATCAATGGAAATGTATAATGTATTCTTGCTACTCTTTCAACTGTAGCATGTATCTGCTATCTATTGAAAGCTAGTTTTCATTACATACTAGTAAGATTTAATAGTGATGTTGAGTTGCTCTTTGGTTCCATCAGATGTGTACAGTACCTTATAACATTCAAAAAATATTGTAAACTGCCACATACCTATAGCAGACATATGAAATGTTTCCTATTCTGGAAAAACTGAAATTATTTATGTAGAAAATGCAGCTGTCTTGTAATGAAATAAAAATTACTGAAGTTGCTTCTAAAAAAAGATAATGATCAAAAGTTAAAAAATACATTTATTTTGCATCATTTCAACGTACTGAGGGTAGGTTTAGCTTAAAATATTTTTCACTACTAACTGTTAAAAATATTTTTTTTTTTTTTTAAATTAATTGGTAAATTTCAATAATTGTATTTCTTTTCACGGTTTTCCTCCAAAAACTATGAGAAGTAAAGTTTTAGCAATACTAGGTAGTTATCTAGTAAGAACAGAAGAAAATTCTAATTGTTTACAATGTGTTGAACTTCAACTGTTCAGACAAAATCACTTTTGATGAGTTTAATCAAATCTTTGGTGATTTTATTGGGGTGCCTAAGGTTTGTTTTGTGTTTAAAAAGGGGTTAATTAATTAAAAAATAAAATTATACTTAATATTTATTTTTTAGATATCCTAAACCAGTTTTTTCTTCTTTTTCCTGGAATTAGATGAAAATGTAAAAAGCATTGTCGTCTTAAGAGATTTTATGCAGATTAACTGAAATTCTTCTTCCTTTTATGATGGAAAATGATATACTGTATTCAAATGTCCTGCATATTTTTAATAATGCCAGACATACAAAGAATCTTGTTTACTTTTACTTACTAAATTTATTAAACCATATTTTAAAAACTGGAAAATTCTAGTGATTTACCTGACACAAATTAAAATGTAAACCATCAAGTAGAAAAGTTTTAAAATTAACCTAATCCTGATAAGCAAGATGGTATTATATGTTATATACATCACAGAAAAACATCTTTACTACATCAGTTTAGTTATGACTTACAGCAGATGTTTTATTATAGTTTTTTTATGGCAATAAATATAGGTGCTACTACATGATAGTATAGTTTATTATTATTATTATTATTATTACTAAATCCAGTATGCAGACATACTATTTTAATAATACATAAAGTTTAAAAGCATTAAATATTTCTTTATTTTTAAATGAAAATGTGTAATTTTCAATTCATTTAGATAAAATTTGATCTTTAATGTGTTAAATATTCTGTTTAATTTTTGTTAAACTTATTTTATATACTTGTGAGCACTATGTTGGCCTTTATTGCTAGACTTATTGCACTGTCCAGTGATGGTGTAATAAGTCTAGCAATAAAGAAAGGCCAACATAGTGCTCAAGTATATACAAAAAGTGTATCATAAGTAGAAACTTATTTTAATTATTTGACAGTTTTAACCCTTATTTATAACAAATTATTAGGTGTATCAGTAAATAATCTAAATATCTATTTTTGAGTTAAGTCATAAGAATTTTATCATAAATATGTATGACTATTTTTAATTTTAAAAAAGTGTACTGCTTTTTATTGTAATTGTTTTTTCATTGAAAAAGTATAATGATACACTTAAATGTCCATAATAGTGACCTCTGTCAGAGAACATCTAAAACTAAGAAATTATTCACTGTAGATGCCTATAATGTAGGCCATGCTTTAATCTATTGTTCTTTGGGCAATTTGACGCAGAATAAGGAATAATTTTAATTTGCACTCAATCAGTGACATCTTGAGACACTCGGAGAAATTAATGTAAAAATCTCAATTATATACTTTTAACATATAATGGAAAATTCATTCAGATCTTTATGGAATATGAAACATTTTCAATAAACTTATAAAAAATAATTCAAATTTGCTTGGAAAGAAAACATTTCACTTTGTATTAATATTAACCAAATATACAATATTTATTATTGGTTTTTCATTGTAGCAAAAAAATATACTACTATTAAATTATAGCGTTTTGCTGTGGTGTTAAAAGTTACTATAAATTATAATTTCCTTTGAAATTAAGTATAACTTAAAAGAAATTATGCTTAGTAAGTAGGTCCAACTTAAAAAGTTTATAAATCTAGTTTATTCAATAATTTACTAAATATCTAAAGTATCTTCAGTCCATATTATCTTAGATAATCATAAGTTTATAAATTTAATTCATAAAGTCTGAATCTCCATTAAACTTGGAGTGTCTAAATTCTTTAAGTTCCATCTGTTTTAATGATTAATGAAATATGACATGAATACTGTAATACAAAATGACAACCATCTTCAAATTTATATGAGCATTTTATACAATATAAATTTGAAAATGTTCAATCATGTATGATGGTAAAGCTTTTTTCAAAGCTGAAACTTTGAGTTACTGCAGTTATTTTTTAATTAAAGGATATATACATTTACATTTAAGTTAAAAATTCAAGGGTTGGTTGAAAAATAAGGTCTCCATTTTTGTGAAATTAGTTTGAGAAGAGATAGAATATTGTGATCAGTATCTTTAGTCTTAGGAACAATTGGAAATTTAATGATAGCATAGTTATAACGGGAGTACAGGATCTAATTTTGTTCTTAAGTATTTTTACTGTTTCCTCATTATAACACAGTCTTGTGTTATTGTATCATAAGAAAAAGGCAGTTCTTTCCTGCCTTATTCTAGAATGCTCATAAAATTTCTTTGGACTTTCTTTGGCTCGATTACATGCATTAATGGTAAGGTTTACATCAAGTAATATGATGTTACTATTACTGGGTGTTGTCTCAACCAGTATTGTGAAATTTCATAAAATTTTGAAATACTTTACCAAACTGAGTGTTTCTTTCTGCAAATCCTTTCAATGCTAAAAATTAAATCACTTCATACAATGAAGAATGTGAAATCATGTTTAACTTTGACTGTTATACACGGATGCAACACAATGATGCGAGACTTCTTGCAAAGAGACTAGACACTCAGAGCTACTAAACTATAGTGGTTCCAAAACTTTGAAATGTTGCAGACCCTTTTATAAATTTTATATTTTGGCAGACAATATTTTCAGCTGTTGTCATTATTTTTTATTGACTAAAAGCTAAGTATCTGTGGTATCTTATATTGTTTTTTTGATAGTTTTTGAAAATTTTTCTTAAAACAACATAATAAATAAATTATAAAATTTTATAAAAACCAACTTTTATTCTTCAAAAATGTCATTAAGATATAACAATGTGATAAATTTGTATATTATATATTAAAATCACCATCTGGAGCTGTGTAGACCACAGTGTAGGAACCACTGGTGTAATAGGCCTCATGTTTCCCTTCCTACACTTCATAGAATGCTGCAATAGGAAATCTTATTTATCAATCAACCCTCATGAAGTACAAAAATAGTTCCAAAATCAATAATTTATTTTCAGTAATCACTTTTGAATCATTCTTCTGTTTTCATTTTACAAGCAATAAACATGACGTGATCTATATCAATTAGCATCTGCAGCCATCAATGATAAATAATTCACACAAAATTCAAATGAATTCTTATTTAAATTGCTTTTGATAATTTTTTTATAATATTCTTCAATCACTTTGAATAATTTCCAAATATAAATAACAACATTCATAATAAGGAACACATTGTTTTAAAAATCAGTTAAAAAAAACTTATAATTAAAGTTTTACTTAATTTTTGTAAATCAATTTTGTATTTTCTTCCAATACAAATGTTTAAACAAAGTTTTTCTATTTAAAAATACATAGTCACATGGAAGTAACAAAATTTTATTTTTCAGTATAGTTTGATGTTAATTTAGCAAAAGAGTTTATATTTTTTTACTATCAAATTTGTTATAATAATTATTTTACTGGTTTCATCTGCCATAATCCATCATTTAGATAGTGGACATTTTCAACACCTATTCCTTTATTAATTTTTAATCTGAAAATAAAGTTTTAAAATATTTTTATATAATATTGCAAATATTTCACTTCAAAATTTATAAATAAAACAACTATTTAACCTGAAAAGTTTAATATAAGCAAAGTAAACTATACAGTGGGTGATTGGTTAATGAACATAATCTGTTCCAAGACTATGTTCGCTATCTGAATTGTTCGTTAACCGATTATGAATTTATCATAGATTTTTGTGGGAATTTGATTGATTCATTCTGGAGACCCACAAAATAAAAAAAAATAAAAATTATATACTTTCTTACTATATTCATTTACATGTAATAACATGTAATAGCAAACTAAAAGCAATCTCTCCATTTTTTCATGGATGGCACATCTTTGTTTCTCAGGTGTGATTTTTGTTACTCCTTTATCAGCTCTTCTTTTTGATTGTATCTTTCTTAGCTAAGATTTATTTACTATAGACTTGTTAAAGTCATCTGCCTACAATATCAGATATATTCTGCCTTGGCTATTATCTGTTGCTTAATTTCTGTAGTGAACACAGTTCTTGACACTCCACTCTTTTTAGGTCCCATAATAATATGTTTTTTAAATAAAAAGTTCAGAAAAACAATTAACAAAAATTCAGAGAACAGAAATTAACTAGTGCAAAAAAGGTTATGTATACAACTGTGAAAGTCTCGTTCCATAAACCACGTATAGATGCCATTAAAATATAGTTTTACAAATCTTAAACGCAGCATTGCTTCTTGTGTTTGTTCTGTGAGGTGTTTGTTGTCCAAACTGTTCATTAACCGATCACCCACTGTAAATTGATTTAAACTTAAAATAATAATTTAATATTGTATAATAATATATTATTATTATTTATATTGACTGATAATTATTAAATAATTATTCACAGTCATTCAAAGATAATTAAAATATATTATTGCAAGTAGAATGAATGATCTTTTTTGGAACAAAGATTGCACTAAAAAAAAAAAAAAAGAAAGTAAATTGTTCTCAGAAAAAGTCCTGGAAAGAATGGTTCCACTAAAAATATTTGTATATTTGCTTCTTTTAATAAAAGCTTCAAAAGTTTGCCATAGCTTTCATTTGTTTAAAGGTCTGGCCAAAAAAATTCCACTTGGCAGTAACTTTTCATCTTCAAAGATGGCATTACCAGAAACATTGGAATGATGGTGCATATTGTCTTAATGAAGCTATACATCTTTTGAGAGGTTCAGCATCTTCCAATGGAAAGAACAGCTTCAACTTTGCAGATGATGCTATATTGTATACTTTGTGGAGATGCAGTATAAACAAATTTCTCAAGACATCTTAGTCTGTATATAGGGATATAAACTTGCTAAGTTACCTGGTTGAGACAACACCCAGTAATAGTAAACATCATATTACTTGATGTAAACCTTACCATTAATGTATGTACTCAAGCCAAATTTCAGAACTTTTCCAAAATTTTTTAACCCAGATGTTCATTAATATTTTATAAACAATATGTTTAAATAAAATAATTTATAAAGATCTGGATAATATTTATTAGGAATATCAAACATGTTCGTTAAATGTTTCACATTCAATCTTCATGCTATTAGATGCTTTGTATTAGATACAAATATGCTCTTACATAAAGTTCAGAATTTTTTTTACGCCAATCTACATAATTACAATTTTATCTGGTTTATCTAAATACATTAATACCCCGCTTAATGCTGATTCAATATAACGCAGTCTGCTTGAAGCCTAAAAAAACACTCCAAATTTACACCGATTCAAATTATTGCAACATTTTATTGATTCATATATAATACGATTATTTGTAAACACAAACCAATCAGAAATAGGTGACAAAAAGTGTACTTTCTTTAAATCTACATTTGTTTGGTGCAATTTTGGAAAAAATATAACATCATGGATGCCAAAGGAAATATCGACTTCGCTTGGCAAGAGTTAACTGATAAATGCACAAACAAAGTGTGGGAGAAGTTATGGCTGAAGGTATTCAAGAATTCTCAACTAGAAGAGCCTATCACTGTATTGTTAGGTTAACCACACTCAACCTAATCAATATAGCAGGACTAGGAGATATAGACAAAGAGAATATTGAGGAGTTACAGCAGGTTTCTAGTGAAAGCCTTGCCAATGACGACCTTCGAGAACTGGCAGAACATGGAATTCATGTGAAACTGGAAAATAGAGATTCTGAAAACAAAGAACCCAAAAAATTTCTCTATAGATTTCCTTAGTAAAAGTTTGGTAACATAACCGAAATCATTGATCAAATTGTAGTGAATAATCCAGATTTTGAAAGGAGTGCAGAAGCAAAACAAGGCATTTTGGATGCAATCTTTTGCTACTGATATTTGCTTAAGGAAAGAAAAAAGTGACAAATGAAACTTCACGACTTTATTGCAAAAGAACAAGAATTTCAGAAAAGTCAGGACCTTCATCACAAAAAAATGAACTTTACATTTGTGTGTGCATATGTTTATTTGTTATTTAACATATATTATTAAACAAATTAATATAAAAATAACTTAAAATTAAAGTAAAATTTGTTTATTTTTGGTTGCATTTTCCCCTATCCCTATTTACTCTGTGTTAAAATGACCTCGTTTAACACTGTTTCGCTTAGCACTTTGTTGTCAAGGAAAGCATCCCCCGTGTTAAGCGAGGTCTTACTGTATTTCTTAATCTGGGTGATGCTCTCACTATTAAATCTGATCAAAAAATTGTTTGCTATATATAACATGCAATTATTTATTATTGCAATTTTTAATTATATTTTAAATTAAATAAATTTAAAATATTTGCTCATAACCTCAAATTTGTTGTGTCTTGTCCCTGTAATGTACATCATACTTTTTCTATTAGCAATAGTCATGCCAGTCATCTAACTAACTGCTTTCAGGAGAAAAATTTTGAATTTATTTCACGTGACTTCCAGTGAAAACGGGTAGTTCGTACAGTTAATTAGGGCCTGCTGCCCGTAAGCTTTCCATATCTGGTCTCAAGTTTCAGCTGTCTAACTCCATTCTCAAGATTAAAGAAGGACAGATGAACAACAGTGGGAATTTATAGGCCTTCAATTTTTTTCAAATTGCAGCCCAATAAGTTATGATAATGTTGTTGTAGATGACATGACTTTATGAATTATGCAAAAATATTTTAATTATAATGTGATTGGTGGATTATGATATATTTATGATATCATCATAAACGATTTATAGTGTGACTGAATCCATGACAGAATTGACTAACGTCCATAGTCAATTAAAACAATTATGTTTAACTTAAACAACAATCAATACAAATAATGTTTATATTATTTATATAACTTTATAGTCTCCATTTTGAGTAAGAAAAAAGAGAGTTGAGAAATCATTTTAAGGACATCAGGTTTCTAACAATACAAAATTTCATGATATAGCTTGAATGAACTGGTTAAAAATATATAAGCATCATCACTCTACATACAAATATATACAGATTAATTATTATTATTTTATTTAAATTAAAAGAATACTTACATATCATCAGTAGACATTGAAGTAATACCTACTGCCAATGCATGCTGTTTACCTTCTGCCATTATTGCCTGATAATTAATCAAGGATTATTTTCTCAGAATTAAAATATAAACTTTTCATGACAACAATAATAAATAATGAATTATATATTTATATTCTGTAATAAATATTTTAAATTTTTTATTATTTTCACTATAAATTTGTTAATCTTGTATTTTTATCAATTTTAAAATACTTTATTTTTTTCAATAACAATGCTTTATAGGAGTTAACACAACTGAAATAGAAAACAGAATTATCCAAACTATACTTAAAACACTTGAATATAACCTCATCATCAAGATGATGGCCTCTATAATCAAATATGATTGATTTCTATGCAAACATTTATGTAATCTTGAGCAACATCTCTAAATTAATATGTAATATAAATAAGAAAATAAACTAAAAAAAATGATAAAACAGCAGAAAATTTTAAATTATTAATTCCAAGCTTGAACAATGATACAAATAGTTTGTTCCAGGAAAGACTTTTCTTGCAAATTAGTCATTTTCAAGGTTGGGGAAGACAATCTGTCTTCCCAATCTTGAAAATGAGTCTGAGTCTCTGTAGATAATAACATGATGTTTCTGGCTCTTTCCAAGTACAGAAACTCAGATTATTAATTTGATTTATTAAATAATTATTCACAGTCATTCAAAGATTATATAAATACTTTATATAAATTAATTTTTTTTTTCATATCCATATGTAAATGCTTAAGTTTCCTGGTTGAGACAACACCCAGTAATAGTAAACATCATATTACTTGATNAAATTGTTTGCTATATATAACATGCAATTATTTATTATTGCAATTTTTAATTATATTTTAAATTAAATAAATTTAAAATATTTGCTCATAACCTCAAATTTGTTGTGTCTTGTCCCTGTAATGTACATCATACTTTTTCTATTAGCAATAGTCATGCCAGTCATCTAACTAACTGCTTTCAGGAGAAAAATTTTGAATTTATTTCACGTGACTTCCAGTGAAAACGGGTAGTTCGTACAGTTAATTAGGGCCTGCTGCCCGTAAGCTTTCCATATCTGGTCTCAAGTTTCAGCTGTCTAACTCCATTCTCAAGATTAAAGAAGGACAGATGAACAACAGTGGGAATTTATAGGCCTTCAATTTTTTTCAAATTGCAGCCCAATAAGTTATGATAATGTTGTTGTAGATGACATGACTTTATGAATTATGCAAAAATATTTTAATTATAATGTGATTGGTGGATTATGATATATTTATGATATCATCATAAACGATTTATAGTGTGACTGAATCCATGACAGAATTGACTAACGTCCATAGTCAATTAAAACAATTATGTTTAACTTAAACAACAATCAATACAAATAATGTTTATATTATTTATATAACTTTATAGTCTCCATTTTGAGTAAGAAAAAAGAGAGTTGAGAAATCATTTTAAGGACATCAGGTTTCTAACAATACAAAATTTCATGATATAGCTTGAATGAACTGGTTAAAAATATATAAGCATCATCACTCTACATACAAATATATACAGATTAATTATTATTATTTTATTTAAATTAAAAGAATACTTACATATCATCAGTAGACATTGAAGTAATACCTACTGCCAATGCATGCTGTTTACCTTCTGCCATTATTGCCTGATAATTAATCAAGGATTATTTTCTCAGAATTAAAATATAAACTTTTCATGACAACAATAATAAATAATGAATTATATATTTATATTCTGTAATAAATATTTTAAATTTTTTATTATTTTCACTATAAATTTGTTAATCTTGTATTTTTATCAATTTTAAAATACTTTATTTTTTTCAATAACAATGCTTTATAGGAGTTAACACAACTGAAATAGAAAACAGAATTATCCAAACTATACTTAAAACACTTGAATATAACCTCATCATCAAGATGATGGCCTCTATAATCAAATATGATTGATTTCTATGCAAACATTTATGTAATCTTGAGCAACATCTCTAAATTAATATGTAATATAAATAAGAAAATAAACTAAAAAAAATGATAAAACAGCAGAAAATTTTAAATTATTAATTCCAAGCTTGAACAATGATACAAATAGTTTGTTCCAGGAAAGACTTTTCTTGCAAATTAGTCATTTTCAAGGTTGGGGAAGACAATCTGTCTTCCCAATCTTGAAAATGAGTCTGAGTCTCTGTAGATAATAACATGATGTTTCTGGCTCTTTCCAAGTACAGAAACTCAGATTATTAATTTGATTTATTAAATAATTATTCACAGTCATTCAAAGATTATATAAATACTTTATATAAATTAATTTTTTTTTTCATATCCATATGTAAATGCTTAAAAACCATATCATTTCTTTTACAGATTTCCAAGCATGTTATGAACGATATACAGTAGATCCCCCTATAAGACGGTAGATACGTTCCGTTCTTTATGAATCAATTTTGTAGGAATCATAGTTTACGGACTACGGCTGTTTGAAAGGTTTTCTTTCATAAAATTAATCGATTCTAGACTAATTCGACTCAACATTTCCAAAATACGTATATTTTTTTGAAAATAATCCGTATAAACTACGTTATAAACAAAAAATTGTAGGATTACTTACCGAGTGTGTACCCTTTGACTACGCTCGTTGCTAAAGCTTGGTTTCGTCGCGGAACAGCGCATCAAATTGCGGCCGCGATTTCTGATATTATTTTTCTGCGAAAACTTCGTTGACCTTTGGAGACATCATTAATATAAATAATTTTTATGGCCGTTAAATAAGAAATGTTTCTTTCACAAGAAATGTATAAAATTACAGTACTAAACAGACGATAGGTCGCCTAACTCGCCGTAGCGTGACGCTAGACGGCGAAAAATATATATTTAATTATAATAAAGTTACAATAAATTAAGTTAATATATAATTATATATACAGTACCTAATTTATATATAATTAATATATAATTATATGTACAGTACCTAATTTATATATAATTTATATAATACTGTCCAGACGATAGAAATCTCTCCGTAGCGTGGCGCTACGGACGGCGGGTAAGTAGTTCGGCTGCCCGATGACGTTTTACGTATTATAGGAGTTATTTTTACCGTTGTTTACGGATAATGCCACAATTTTTATAGGAATCATAACTATAGGAAACGGTTTTATAGGGGGATCTACTGTATATGCCTATATAGTTGTCATGATTTATAATGACATTTTCTGTGAATATTAATTATTTCTCACTTATCACTTGGTTATTGAGTTTTTTTCTTTGCAATGAGACTCTTCATTGTAAAATTTAATTTTGAATCAGCAACCACGTTTATTTTACTTTAAACAAATGCTATAAAAGACTGAATTATATTGGTTGAAATTTTTAGTATGTCCAATAAATAGTTGCACAATCATCATCATAATTTCACATTTATATTCAAATTTTTATTAAATGTTTGTTATGATAAGTTATTATAAACTTACATAGTATATATTCAGTTTATGTTTAACTTACTGAAATAGTTGCAACAAACACAGAAATTTTCCTTCAGTTAAATATTTCTGTAAATGGATAATGATAATTGTACAAATATTTGATGTGTATTTATCACTATTATTGTTGTTTATACATTAATTCTTAAATGATACCGACACACATTTATTTTTCTGTTTTTAAAAAATTGTATCAAATTTGTATAAATATGCAACTTTTTCTTTATATAGTTGACTATTATTATTTACAAAATAGTTATGATAAATAAATAAATAACCAGTTGTTCAGAAGCTATAATATTTAAAATAGCTTTTTTTTTTATTAACTTTTTATATATTAAAATATTTCACATTTTATTTGTTATTTAGATAAGTCTATCTTAATTTAAAAAAAAAAAAAAAACAAAATTTTAAAGGATACAACAACTGTTCCTTTTGGCACTGAAATCATTTTAGCTCCAGGAGACGTAAGACCAGGACACATTATATTAGCACCACTTAAAACGAAACGAATTGCTCCTTTATCCACTTGTTCCCAAGGACACATAAATGGATCTAAATAAATATTAAAACATATTTATATTTTAAATCTTTTATCAACTAGTTTAATAACTTCACTAGATATAATTAAACATTGTAAATGTATTTTTATCAAATAAACTATTATATACATTTTTATATTTTATTAAATAATATAAATTATTTATTAAACAATCTTAAAACAAACTCAATTTACAGTATGTTCTAAATTATATTAAAAATATATAACATCTGTATACATGTATACATTTATATTAAACTAGCTATGTGTGCCTGGCATTGCTTGGACTTTTGAGAGAATGGGGGATTGGTGAGATTGAGTTGGGAGAGGATAATAAAAACAATCATATCTGCAGGTTATAAAAGTGATTTCTTAGAGTAATTATATGATGTATGTTAAATGATTTTTATTTGGCATTCAATTATACATTATTCAGATCAGATTTTCTCCATTTTGTTCAAAATAGGGGATATTTTACTAACTTTCTAATATTTACAAATATTTAATGTGTTATCATTTGAAAACAGTTCTTAAAGTAAAATGGAAGCATTAACTAATCTTAAATTACATAACATTTTCATTTTAATATCTTACTTCTAAATTCTAGAAAATACTTCTTAAATATCAGTAAAGAAATATAAATATTCCTTTAATATTTTTTCTTGTAAATAGGATGCCCACCATATCACTGTGTATCCTGGAAATAAATCTTATCAGATCAAAAACCCAAATATTTTTTGGGGTATTCCATTCATGATATGTTGGGCCCCATCCCTCACCATCTGGAAACATCAATGTGGACTTAGCAATGAGGTTATGATAGAAAGGACATCTTAGTGCCCAAAGAATAAAGGAAAAACATAAAAATATGAAACATAAACATGAAACATTATAAAAATTTAAAATATCTTTAAACTTATAAATAGTAATAAGATAACTTACATCTATGAAGAAGCCTTAAACATGGTATATAAGGTCCTTCACGTTGACGAAAAAACAGTAATTCACCACTTGCATTTACAAGGATCTCAATATGATCATGACTGTAAAAATCTAAAATTAATCTTTTTTTGTAATGAAATATATAAAAATCCAATTATGTAAACAATAATATTTGAATAAAAGATTATAGAAATATTTTATAGTCTTTTTAAACTAATTAGATTCTATTAAATTTAAAGGAAACTCTGTTAATTTCAAATTTTTATCTAAAAAGCATTAAATTATTTTTAAAATACTAAATGGATTTATTGTAAGTTTGAAGACAGAAAATATTTAACTTGCTAGTAAAATTTGACTCCTCTAAATTACACTTATTTACATACATTTATAAATTTTGAATCACAAAATATTTAAAAAATTTGTCAAACACAACCAGATAAAGGAAAATTAATACTGATCCAATAAACTGAAAAATGGCTTAGTTCTAGGAGTCATTATACTCTTTTATATATTATTATTATATATATATACCTCGCCGGGTGTTACGTTAGCTGGCTGAGTGCCATTGGGGTCGTGGGCAATGGAGTCATCCCCAGTCAGTGATGTATTTAACCATGTAAGGTTATATCTAATCTAATATACTTCTGGAAGCGAAGACTCACTCGGGATCCGGGTGGCCTAACTGGCAAGCGCACCACACGGCAAGCGGAGGTTGCGGGTTCAAACCCCGTCTCGGGCCAGTTCTTTTATTCCAGAAGGTACTAAAATTTATTTAATTTGCAGCTTGTATTTTCTCTCTTACCATTATAGAAATTGTACTTTTGAATTATTTAGCAAATTAATAAAGAAGAAATAGCATGTTAGCAAAGGACAAATCCTAGCATTTTTTACATCACGAGTAATGACTTCACTACACTTATACTTTAAGTACCAGTTGCAATTAATTAGAATAATTAAAAATATACTTTATCGTTCTAAAAGTTTTAAAGTTTATATTTAAAATATCAGTCAAGTGACATCGTAGTTATTATTTACAATGCGCGCGTGGGAGGTTTCCGCCCTTGGAAGTCGTATAGGGATGACTAAAAATAACTTTTCTGTTATTTTAAAATTTGTTAAGAGTTTCACACAATGTTTATTCTTAGAAATTAATGTATAAATTTTTATTTCTAATCAATTTAAATCATTCTACACGTTACTTACCTATCGTAGTGATGACCGTAAGACAGTAGAGAAACGCACCCGGTAACGACCACTGATTTCTTCCATTTTCTTGAGCATCGTAACCACCTTTGACAGCTTCTACTAACTTACCCTGATAGATTCTAATTTCATCTTCGACAGATTTGGTCCAGTTTTGTTTGTGTAAGATATTAAAAGCAACGGTGACTCCCCATAAACGTAACACAACATTTTGGCTCTCTTTGTTCATCTTCAGCACTAGTTCTTCTTCGTTGTTAATTTCCAAACGATTAAATGCAATTGCACCTACAATTGTATAACAAATAACTAGAGAAGTTAATCCCAAATGAGAAAATAAAAATGCACTTAATCTTCTACAGTATATTCTGCATTTGTTAATTGGTTTCTCTCGTACTTGTCTCCGTTGTGACCTCCTCCTTTCTAGTGCCATGCTGTTTGGCTTTATTTCACAAAAATTGTTCTGTATCTCGAGATATGATTGGACGGTTACTCTATGACGTCATTNTTTTTTTTTTTTTTTTTTTTTTTTTTTTTTTGTGCAATTTTGGAAAAAATATATCATCATGAATGCCATAGAAAATGTTGATTTTGCTTGGCAAGAATTAACTGATAAATGCATGAACAGAGTGTGGAAGAAGTTATAACTGAAGGTATCCAAGCATTCTCAACGAGAAGAGCCTATTGCTGAATCGTTAAGTTGACCGCACTCAACCTAATCAATATAGCAGGACTAGGAGATATAGACAAAGAGAATATTGAGGAGTTACAGCAGGTTTCTAGTGAGAGCCTTACAAATGGCGACCTTTGAGAACTAGCAGAACATGGAATTCATGTGAAACTGGAAAATAGAGTTTCTGAAAACAAAGAACCCAAAAATTTCTCTACAGATTTCCTTAGTAAAAGTTTGGTAAGATAACCGAAATTGTTGATCGAATTGTAGTGAATGATCCAGATTTTGAAAGGAGTGCAGAAGCAAAACGATGCATTTTTGGACATAATCTTCTGCTACTGATATTTGCTTAAGGAAAGAAAAAAGTGATAAATGAAACTTTACGACTTTATTGCAAAAGAACAAGAATTTCAGAAAAGTCAGGACCTTCATCACAAAAAATGAACTTTACATTTGTGTGTGCATGTTTATTTGTTATTTAACACATATTATTAAACAAATTAATATAAAAATAACTTAAAATTAAAGTAAAATTTGTTTATTTTTGGTCGCATGTTTCCCTATCCCTATTTATTCATGTTAAAATGACCTCATTTAACACTGTTTCGCTTAGTGCTTTATCATCTAGAAATGCATGTACAATCCATGCACAAAAGTATAAATTTATTAAATTTTCCCCTTAAAATAAATTTTCCAAACTTTATAAAATATTAATAAATGGGGAAAAGTTTCAGAAATCAGAAATTGTTTTGTTATGTGATCAAAATTATTAAAATGAAAAATAATAAATAATACCATTTGAATTAATATTAAGTTATTTATCATTTTCTCCTATCAGTTCATTAACATCTTCCCTCAAATTGAAAGTGTAAATTGCAAGAGATAGAAAGTTAAAATAATTCAAATTTTTTTTTTTATCAACATTAGATTGAGTGTTAGATTTTTCTCTCAAACTTATACATAATTAATACAGCAGTTCTAAATACAGCAGTTTCTAAATAATCTAAAAGTATTTTAAAATTTAAAAATAACAATTGATATTGTTGTATGCTTGTATATTTTGTGTGCTATAATTTTGGGGAAATTTTGAACCCTGAAAATATTCTGCACCCTGTTTTCATAAGTTGTGTTGTACCACAATTCTTCTTGCTGCCTGCAGACAGTAACACTTGGTCAGCTGTACTGACAGCAAACAAAATCAAAAAGACAACCAAGGAAACAAATTCCCTGACTTGTTGACAATTTTTAACTAATAATCCCTGACTTTTCTTGATTTTCCAGGTGCATAGGAACCCTGAATGTAACTTAACCCAAATAAAATAGAACATTAAGATTCTACTATTAGACAAATAAAATTGCCTCTAGATAACATTCATTGCAGAACACGACAAATCATATTCTGAGAATAATTTGAAATGAAGGGTCATACGACAAGGGACATATGGACAGTCTTTGTTAGAATTACCCAAGGGCAGAATTGAATATTTTTAAGAATGGAGAACATTCAAGAATCAGAATGAGTTTCCAGAAATTGATTGGTTTGTGAGAATAAAGCAACATAATGCTGCGAATTTGTCTTGTATAGATAAGTTGGTAACTGATTTCTACTAAATATTCCATTATAAAGTAATAATTAAAGAGATTGAAATAAACAATTAATTAGTGTATTAAAATTTCCCGAGAACCTAAATCACAGAATAACTTTTCTGTATTACTGTCATGTAATAACTTTGATAGCAGAGTGAGATGCTAGTTTTTGATTCTCATATTAGTTTGTTTACTGTGAACTCAAAGACCTCATCCAAGAAGTATTTGAATATCTATCAATAACATAAATTTTTGGGAATAACAAAACTGTTTGCAATCAAAGTTCTCAAATCTTGCATTCAGATACTCTCATTTTTAGTTGAAATTAATGAATTAAGCCCAGTAATAAAACTTTTTTTACTTATGTTAAAGCAATTTCACATCAAAAATTAATATAACTGTGTGGAAATTTATCTGGCACAGTTTAAAGGTTAAAATAGAAAAATGCCAACACCTGTTGAAAACAGAAAAAATAATTCAGTATAGCGCAATTTCGATTTTTATAGATTTTGTACAGTAAAACCCATATTAAAAAAAATCTTTACAAAACTTAATGGCAAAAAATACCCATCATCACAGATATTCAAATCGGCAAAATTAGTTCTTTTGCTCGACTCCACCATTACGAATCTGAATAATTTTTTAAACACGATATCATTACAGTAAGATGTATCTTGCAAAAGGTCGCACATAAAGGTATGGTTCCTATGACTTTTTTGCTTCTACAGATATGATCTACGGCTCCAGTAAGGTCCCAACCGCATCATTAACGGGCGTAATTGTTCTATTACAATATTCCAGAAGCAATCCTTTCATTCATACAATTTAAATTTTGGATAAATATTTAATTTAACGACTGCTATTTGCAAGAAGAGAATTGTTTTATATAATACATTACCTGTTTGTCTGTATATTTGAATTTAAAAAGTAAAATACAATACTAATTAAGTTAATACAATTACCATTTGATGACTCTAAGAGACTCCTTTTTGGGTAAAATCTGATTCATGTAATCCTCAAGATATGGAAACTGTTCCAAGATTTTACTCCTAATGGCTTTTTGAACAGACGACTTTAATTGTGTTACTCCAGATACATGATCCTTTTCGTCAAATCTGAAATGATTTAGTATTACAGATCATTATTATGTAAATTGAAAATAAAATTATTTTATTTGGAATTATAAACAACAAACTTTTTAAACATATTTGCAAAAATGCTTTCACGTTGCCGAAACTAACGTCCCTCTACACCAAATGCAAAATGTCTACCGTACACCCTCTGTTGGATTAGTTCTTGTTGCCAACAAATAAATTTTTTTAATTTTTTTAAAATTTTGAACAAAATTTAAACATTATAAGCTGAAATTTTTTATATATAAAAAATTATATTTACAAATAATCCAGGATAAAATTTATTATACAGAAAGTTTTATATCATGGAGGAATGGCCGAGTAGTCAAGGTGGTAGCCTACCTCTCTGAAGGATCTTTTTTATTTTTATACTCTTTCTGCCCTGTGGGCACTAAGAGGGCCTCTTATAGCAGGCCCATTATGAATTCGGCCAGGTCCACAATGGGGCGACCGGGTGGTGAGGGACGGGGCCCGACATATCCGAACGGACCACCCCCGAAAAATTCCTGGGGTTTCCTTGACCCGTCAGGATTCAATCCCGGGTTCACCAGAGCGGTAGGCTGCCACCTTGACTGCTCGGCCACCCCACCTTCTCTGAAGGATCTGGAATCGTATCCAGACGGGACGAAAAATTCCCAGAATTTTTCGGGGGTAGTCACTTCAGATACGTCGAGCTCCGTACCTCACCAAAACCAGGCCTCCATTGTGGGCATGGCCGAATCCATAATGGGCTCGCTAAAAGTGGCCCTATTAGTCCCCACAGGGCGGAAAGATTTAAAATATATATATATATATCTTCGTTGAATTTACATTAAATTTGGATTAAAATTTACACAGAATGAAATTACACAGGTGGTTTGTTTGAGTTATGGCATCGCAACACTTTGGCGATCTGCTTAGAAGATGCTTTCCAGGAGGTCTTTTTAAGGGAAACTGGCCACTATTTAGGCGTTATAGACGTGGAGAAGACCCAGAAAACTCCACATGGCCAGCCGGTCCGAGGGAGGCATGAACCCACGACCGAACTCCCAGTGTTCACGGAACGAAAACTGCTTGGCCATTGGTGGGCGTTGAAATTACATAATTTTTTACGTATTCGTGAATAAATGCAATTATATACGAGGTTCGAATATTCGAAATTTTACAATCTATTTTAAACGTTATTAATGAAGAAGAGAAAAGAAATGTAATATCTACTGAAGTAAAAATTGAATGAAAAGCTTTTCACCGAAAGTCCACTTTCCAGTTTACCAGAAAATTTAAAATTCTACTAGCAATTGCTCCAACTGCTTCTCCGATTAAAAGTTTATCCATTATATTTCGATAACGAACTAATTAATTAAAACACTTGCCCAAAAACAAATCAATATATTAGTAAAATTAAAATAAAACCAAAACCAAAATATTTCAAATAAAACTCTGTTTTTGTTAATGAAAAATATTTCTTGGACTATTATATTTTTAATGGGTCTTAATAAAAGAAAATCAAAATAATACTAATTGTGGTGTTCGTCGCACCACTGTTTATGTGTTCGCTGAGAATATATATAGAACCTGTAGTCATATATATCATCATTCGTATAATTTACATAATGTTCATAAAAATCTCGTTCTACAATATCGGTACGGTTGGTTAGGATCCACGTGTTTGTACATGAGAATAACCGCGTCCAGAGAAAAGTTGACAAGTCGGGGGAAAAAAAAAGTATGGCAGACGGCCTGCACATGCTTATATATCCGTCGCGCCAGCGCCACCTGGATTTTCAGATGTAGCGCTAGTTACAATTATTCGGCCGCCACACTAATCAACAAACCCTTTACATACAAATAATGCTACCGAAAATAGTATATTATGAAATCGGTTTGAATTACATTTAAAATTCATCCACTTTTCCAATAATCAATATATAAAAAAGGTCCTCGATGATAAAATGCAATCTCTAGTAGATTTACCAAGAAAAAAATCTTAGGGAGTCCGCATTGCAGCGATCCAGCATTCCAAATTTTGTCATTTCCGGTGTGTTTTGACCTGTCCGGTTGTTTATGCGCTCCACTCTTTCGCCAGACCGCATTGAAGCGCACCGATACTACAAATCTTGTCATTACCGGTGTAATTTGTCCTTTCCAGTTGTTTATACCCTCCACTCTCCCGCCAGACCGCATTGAAGCACTCCGGCACTCCAAGTCTTGTCATAGTTGGTGTTTATAGTCAAGTCCGGTTGTTTATACCCACCACTCTCCCGCCAGACCGCATTGCAGCGCTCCGGCACTCCAAATTTTGTCATTTCCGGTGTGATTTGTCATTTCTGGTTGTTTATACCCTCCACTCTCCCGCCAGACCGCATTGAAGCACTCCGGCACTCCAAGTCTTGTCATAGTTGGTGTATATAGTCAAGTCCGGTTGTTTATACCCACCACTCTCCCGCCAGACCGCATTGCAGCGCTCCGGCACTCCAAGTCTTGTCATAGTTGGTGTATATAGTCAAGTCCGGTTGTTTATACCCACCACTCTCCCGCCAGACCGCATTGCAGCGCTCCGGCACTCCAAGTCTTGTCATAGTTGGTGTATATAGTCAAGTCCGGTTGTTTATACCCACCACTCTCCCGCCAGACCGCATTGCAGCGCTCCGGCACTCCAAGTCTTGTCATAGTTGGTGTATATAGTCAAGTCCGGTTGTTTATACCCACCACTCTCCCGCCAGACCGCATTGCAGCGCTCCGGCACTCCAAGTCTTGTCATAGTTGGTGTATATAGTCAAGTCCGGTTGTTTATACCCACCACTCTCCCGCCAGACCGCATTGCAGCGCTCCGGCACTCCAAGTCTTGTCATAGTTGGTGTATATAGTCAAGTCCGGTTGTTTATACCCACCACTCTCCCGCCAGACCGCATTGCAGCGCTCCGGCACTCCAAGTCTTGTCATAGTTGGTGTATATAGTCAAGTCCGGTTGTTTATACCCACCACTCTCCCGCCAGACCGCATTGCAGCGCTCTGGCTTTCCAAATTTTGTCATTTCCGGCGTGATTCGTCTTTTCCGGTTGTTTATACCCCCACTCTTTCGCCAGACGAAACGGCAAAGGAGACGATGACGATATATATCGCATATTATCGGTAATACGTTTTTTTTTTTTATATATTTCTCTCCCCTTGGCCCCCACAGAAGTATAACTGCTAGTTTTACAGATTATGTTATTAGACTAATATGAATCTTTTATCTACAATTGGACAGAGAGGACTCTAGAAGATTGTCTCTCACCGGAATACCAAAATTCGTGAATGAATAGCATTACTTTTCAAACATCATTCTACAATAATAAACTCATAAACTGGGCAATAAAGATTCTATATTGTATTATATACCATTTTTTACTGCGTCAATGTATCATAACATAGTACAATTGAAACGCCTTACCTGTCTGTTGTTTTGCTGCTTTTTAATTGTTTTGAGCACAATAAGTTTCCAAAATGTTTCCACGTCTCTTTGGAAAATGGATAATAACATTTGAGAATGATACTTCTTCCTAGGGTAATTTAAGAATTTAATTATTAAGAATAGAAAAGATCCAGATGATTGATTAATTAAATATTAAAATAATTTTCTAATACAGTGCATTTATTGTCTCTTTGAAAGACAATATTCAAGCTAATATTATTTGTAATCTGATAAATTAATTTAATTCGATGCTGAATGGAAACAACCTTAAATATTTTTTATGAAAATTTAAATCTAAATCCAGAAAATAACTCGCAATTTCCAGGAAACTTTCTATTTCAAGATGGCGCCGGAGAATACGAAATGGAACGAATTCGAATCAGTCGAACGTTATAAATGCGTCACGCGTTACGTCATAAGTTCTACGTCAGAATATTAACTAATTGCAAATGTTTTGTTTAAAATGTTAAAATAGTCTTTTTTTTTCTAAAATATCGCTAAGAAATTTGTAAGAAATAAAATTATAAAAACGTATTCGGTATCCTTACAGGCAGCAAATCTAGGTTTAAAGCTTATCTAATTTAAATTAAATTATTTAATTTTGATAAAATACTAATCGAAAAATATTAAGTTACCTACGTTACGCAAGCTTTCGTTATTAAAATTCATACAAAAAATGTCAAGATGGAGGGAAAAATAACCAGGAAATTTCCGGAAAACTTTCTATTCCAAGATGGCGCCGGCAATACGAAATGGAACGAATTCGAATCCATCGAACGTTGCAATGCGTCACGTGTTGCGTCACGTATTCTACGTCATAGATGTAATATTTCAAGGATTTCAATTGTTTTTTTTTAAAAAAAGATTATTTTCAATAATTTTTTTAATCTCGAATTTAACATAATAAACGTAATAAAATCTCGTAGTTGGCACACAATAAAAAATAATTTCTAATAAAATACCTGTTAGTATTTATTTTCTCGATTCTAATGTGCAACTTTTTTTGGTCTTCAAAATTGGCGTGCGTATTATAAACGAGCACGAAGTCGACTTAATTAAATGCTGCCTCCTTGGCTGTTTGTTCCTCATTCTGCTCGGCAATTCGCGTATATAACGTCGTTGTTATAAACCCTCTCTCTAATTCGGCTTTGTTTTGAAGCTGTTTGATGGTCTTTTAATTATAACAATGTGAGTGAACAATGCCCGGCAGACAGGTCACCCATAAAGCTAAGTCTTTGAAAACGAATCTTATTGTAGAATCAAAAATTTTTCATATTAAATGATTATTATGTGATCTTTTCAACAGTACTAGAATTATTCTTTGCTCCTTGCAAAGTTCAAATACTGTAAGCAATTGCCATTTCTTTTCCTTTTATGTCTTGTAATATAACAACTCTTATAACATCTTCAATTGCATGGCAGAGGGAGGTAAACTGGGCATTTGTCCCTCCCTGGGATGGAGAAAAATATCCCATAAATTATTATCATAAAGTGATTGAGATGTCTATCTCTAGCCAAACTCCCACAGTCCATGGTGTAAGGTTATATATTAACCTTACACCCTGGACTGTGAGATGCTTTCATACAATCGATATTGTATTTAATAGCCTACCTGTGATAACCCCAAACAAATAATTATTTGTCTCCAAGCTTTGTCCCCCCTGGAACAAATTAGTTTGGCTAGAGATAAATGGTTAAGCTACCTTCCTAATAAATTTAATAATTAAATTCGTTTTAAATTTAAAATATTCTGAAAGAAAAGAATTGACCAAATGGGACTCAACCCACAACTCCTGATTATCTTGCAGATAATCAGGAGTTGTTGGTTACACTACCCAGACTTCTGTCTGATTTCTATTTCCATAACTGTTAGTTAATTTAGATGTTGGCACAGCTGGTCACTTAAAACTGTGTTGTGTTTTTTTTTGTTTGTTTTGTTTTATTAAAGAAGAAAAATTGCTCTAGAAAAACACTTCAAATCTGTATAATTGGAATCTGATGGTCGGAGATAATATTCTGGAATTGTTTAATTCATAAATAAAAATGATCTGTTGAACTCCTTGAAAATATATTTTTTGCATCAGTGTTTTTCATCGGATATATTATTGTGGATATTGCAAAGTTAAAAGTAATTGTAAAATCTGGGAATGGAAATAGACAAATTAAATAATATATTTACAAAAAATTTATTTAACGGTAGACAGTACCAACAAATAGACGGCCTAGGTGACAATCTACCGCTCTGGGGGACACGGGATCGAATCCGTACAAGTTCAAAGAACCTCCAGGAATTTTTCGGGGGCGGTCCGTTCGGATATGTCGGACCCCGTTCCTTACCATCGGGTCGCCCCATTGTGGGCCTGGTCGAACCCATAATGGGCCTGCCCTAAAAGGCATATTGCGCACAGGGCGTAAAAAGAAAAAAGTACCAACAAATAGAAATGTCAACTTTATTTATTCTGTTATTTTATAATTACTGTATTATTAAGCAAAAGAATTATTCATTTAAAATATATAATTTGTACTACAGTATATTCTCAATTATAAATACAGTGGTACCTCAGGATACGAACGCCCCAGCATACGAAATTTTCAGGATACGACATGAAATTCGAACATATTTTTGCTCCACGATACGAACAAAAACTCACCATACGACGTTACATTAGTTCGCATTTTTCATTTGTTTTTCTTACTACAGTTATTTTTTT